TTTCTTGAAGTTAGAAGAAAACACAAATATACATATACTGATTATGTATTTCTACTATTAGTTAATCAGTGTTGTAAAACTTATTGTATAAATGGAGTAGATTATCCTTAAAGTTTCAAGAAAGAGAGTAAGGTGGGAACTGATTATAGGTACTTAAGGTTGGTTAGTTAGCTAAGGGTAATATAAGAAGTTAAAGAAGTTTCTATAAGGTCAATAGATGGTATATACAAAATATAAACAATTAATTACTATATTAGTCCCACTTAATTAGATTATAGAGTAAGAATATATAATGCATTATGATGAAATAACACTTCATGACTCCTTTGCATCATATATTTACCTTAATTACACATTCCAAAATAGCATACAAATTTGGAGCTTTAAATCATCAGAGCCTTATAATGTATTATTGCTGATATTATTATATATATAGCATTATAAGCTACTTAAAGCATCTAATGCTTCTTTATTATTTATAATTGCCATTGCAGCTTTACTACAAGCTTTTTTTTTTGTAGCATCAACCGCAGTTGCAACATGTACTCCCTTAACTTTAAGTTCGGCTCGAAACTGTTTTGATGCCATTTCATGCGTTTCATAAATGGGGGTGACCCCCATATTTTTTCCTAATATTGAATAAAGTTCATTCTTTGCTTTGCTGTCTACATCCGTAGCAGCATCTGCAATAAGTGGGAATATATTTGTATCGTATTTATGTATTTCATTTGATTGAGATCTCAATGCTAACAAAGGTGCATTCTTGGTGCCTTTGTTACTGATCACTGACTGGTTTCGATCCATATTGAATCTTATCTGACTGTATTTTTCTAAAAGTCTCTTGTTTTTCAATGCTTCCATTGCTGCCCTTAAACCTGCATCTTTATTACTTGGAGCAGTGCCTATTCCAAGAACATCATTGCCCATGGTACACTTTATCACAAAAGGATTTGAGGAGCCATCCCCAGTCTTTATTACCTCGTATTGAGGATGAAAAGCTGCAGTACCAATAAGTGAGTATAGTTCTGATTTGGCATCTTTATTTATTTCCTCAGTGCTACTGATTTGTCTAGCATGTTTGCTCAACTTATTTTCCATTAATGCAGTGAGCCATTGCTGTATTTCAGTGTAGTCAAACTTACGTTCAATTGCTAAAGCACCAATGTATGCTTCAAATATATCGGCATAAATCTTTTGAGTACTGTCCTTAAGGATTTGTTCGTTTATATTACTCCTTAACTTCTTATCAAACCCATATATTATTGAAAACTCAGCCAAAGTTACATTATTAACCAACAGTGATCTGATCTTGGACAATTCACCTTCGGTGGCTTCTGGAAATTTATTGAAAATTATTACTGTTACAAGGTTATTAAGTACCGAATCTCCTAAGAATTCCAACCTTTCATTATGCGATGCCATCAACTCAGACTTATGCAAATACGATTTATTATTAATAATAGATTTGTGAATAAAAACCCGATTATAGAGCTTAACATCATTTATGACTGGGAGTTCAGGTACATCACTTTCTTTGGCCTTCGGTACTTTTGATGGTTTTCTTTCAATGCTCTCTGCGCTTTTGCTTTTTTTTGTCCATGAACTTTCTTCATCAACTTCACTATATTCATCTTCTTTAATAGTATTTGCATTATTATTTATTATCGAGTCGAATACTTTTAAACTCCCGCTCTTATACTTTGTTTTCAATTGTGCTGCTAGCTGGATGAGTTCATTATTCTCTAAATCAAATATGGTATTTCGATCTAACTTCTCAGATGTCAACAATCTCTTAACTTCTGCCAAGTCTGGTGCTTCATTTATAATAAGTTTGATATTTTTCTGAAGTGTTCTAGTACAATGTTCAAGTTTCTTTATTTCTACGTATCCAAAGATATCATTACCAGATTTTCCTTCGTCCAGTTCTTCGATCTTTCTTTTCTTTGAACTCAGAAAATGATGGTTATTAGCAGTAACGGTTTCGTTTTCAATGGATGAATTATACTCATCAGACTTGCCACTTCTATTAAGAGAGTTTACAAACTCCTCATAATCCGATCCATTCATTATTGAATTTATAAGCAATAGTATACTTGCACTATTTTATGTATACAAATTGTGCTCGACTCGATGATGTAAAAATATTTTTATACAGACTGGGCACTACGTATTTTGCAGCCACCTTATTTTACATTTAAAGTATAATATGCTTTCTATATAGTTGATTCTTCACATCACAATACATGCACCCTAAATTAGTAATATATCGCTCCATTATGGTCTTATTTTTGTACTTTGCGTAGAGTAAATTAAGTATTAACTCCAGAATTTCCTAAGAAAGGCGAAATTGTGATAGCATGAAAGTAGAAACTTTATTACTAGATACTTGGAATATATCGATAAGGATATAAAGAACGTTGATTTGGCTTGATATATATCCTATTTGATCTGCTTCGAGAAAGAGAATTTTTCTTAAATGATGCACAAATGCAGAACTGACACACGCCAATATTTATTCAACCATATTTTTTAGGAAGACAACCACTCATAATCGAACAAAGAGAGCCTACTTATTCAATGATAATAGGTTGGTAACTATTGCATGAATCGTATAGACTGCTTGAGTCTCTATACCATTTAGATAAATACACGTGATCAAATAAATCTTCGTGTATTTACCAGACATATTTCGACGGTAGTGAAAAATTCAGTCTACGAATGAGTTTTCATCTCTAACAGGGCCTTCAATAAGCTAACATAATGAGACTCCCATTAGCATCTATAAGTGGGTTGAGATGCATACGCCCACAGGGAAGCATATTTAACTTTTTCAAGCCATCGATTTTCAGGGTACAACAATCATCGTACAGTACTGAACAATCACCTCAACAATCACCAATCTACTCTCTTGACCGTAACACCGGTAAGCATATATTGTCTAGAAAGACATTCTTGGTGGATTATTACAAATATTTGAATGATACAAATGAGATAGTTTTATATGTTCACCATAATAATTTAATTAAATCTGAAAATAAAAAATTTAGATCAGAACTTAATAAGGCAGGTGCCAAGTTGAACATCATCAGAAACAGTATTTATAATGTTTACTTGAGATCTGAACACGAAAAAGATCCAGCAGACTTAGAAACATCGAAAAGAAATAGAGACGTTGTTCATCCTTTCTCGTCATTATTAAATGGACCGACCGGTATTATCACCATACCAAAATGTGATCCACAAGCCGTTACTCAGGTTTTGAAACTCCTTAAGTCGGCTCATGAAAAGTTGATTTTAATCGGTGCTAAAATTGAACAAAAAGTGTACGATATAGACCAAATTGATAAATTCAAGGACTTACCATCTAAAGAAGCCCTTCAAGGACAATTGGCAGGTTTATTAACTGTTTTAGGTGGTGCTGGTTTAGTCAGAACCTTAGAGGCTTCTAGTAATGTTTTGTACTTGACTTTAGAAGAACGTCGTAAGGACATAGATCCAAGTGAAAAGGAAGATAAATAAGTCTATTTTTGATTTTAAAGTATTAAACCTCTAACCAATCCGTTGTAATGAATTGAAAACTCTATCCATCAGTAGCATGCTGAATCTGTACATACATATATTTAATATATCAGAATATGTAAATATCTACATACGTTCAAATCTTGTAGCTATAATACTGTTTGTAACACAAAATGTTTTGATCTGAAAAATTTCAGTGCTCATCTCCATATAGACTTGAGAACTTACTTATATATGGTATCTACTAGATAACGAGAATTCTTGAAGACAATGGGCAAAATAGAAGCGAAAAGCAAGGAGGAAAAATTAAGGCAACAAAAGGAAGCCGAAGCTAAAAGAAGAGCTTATAGAGATTCGAAAAAGGAACTTAGACAGATGCAAAAAGAAGTCAAGTTTGACAGTGACGATAATCCTGAGTTACCTAAAAAAAGATTCTATAGACAAAGAGCACATTCTAATCCATTCTCGGATCATAGATTAGAGTATCCAAGATCCCCAGAAACTATGGACTGGAGTAAGCTCTATCCACATTATTTTGATCTGGAAACTAAGAAAATGACATCTGAAGTTGAAATAGCTGATATTGGTTGTGGATATGGTGGATTGTTGATCAACTTAGCTCCCGAATTTCCTGATAAATTATTATTAGGAATGGAGATTAGAGTCCAAGTGACTCAATATGTTGAAGACAGAATAATTGCATTAAGAAACCAACATAAGAATGAAGTACAAAACAACTATCAGAATATTTCTGTATTGAGAGGCAATGCCATGAAATTTTTGCCAAACTTTTTTCACAAAGCACAGTTGTCTAAAATGTTCTTCTGTTTCCCAGATCCTCACTTCAAACAACGTAAACATAAGGCAAGAATTATCACGAACACTCTCTTATCAGAGTATGCTTATGTATTGAAAGAAGGTGGTATTATTTACACTATCACTGATGTTGAGGATTTGCATAACTGGATGGTAAAACACTTAGAGGAGCATCCAATGTTTGAGAGATTGAGCAAAGAATGGGAAAAACAGGATAAGTGTGTTTCAATTATGTGGAACTCGACTGAAGAAGGTAAAAAAGTCACCCGTAATAAAGGAAGTAAATGGGTAGCCTGCTTTAAAAGATTACCAACTCCTGATGATTGTGAGTAGAGTTGAAATATATTTTTAATATGTATAATAGATATTTTTATTTTTATAATTCATACGGCTGTAGCCATACAAGTTCCATAATATAAACTTCCTTTACGTTTATTAAAACTTATGAAATATATTCACACAGAAACAATAATACAATAATCTTAATATAGAATAGCCCTTTCACAGGTATGGATTAAGTTTAAAAAAAAAACTATAATAAATAAACTAGAATAAATAAAATAGTCAAAATTAATACGAATTAATTGAAATTAGCACTTTATACCACAAACTAAGGCGTTAGTGGATTAAAACGATTCTGGAATAGTAGACTTTGTTTCATCAACAAATTCTTGAGTGCCAGATGATAAGTTTGAGGAAGGAACATCTGGGAATTTAGAGGCACCAGTAGAAGAAGCAGATGCTGATCCTTCAAAGGAGGCATCTCTGTTATTACCAACAGTTGAGCCAGCTGTTCTGGTAGGTAAGTAGTTCTTAATTATAGCACCGACTGGTCCAGTCTTTTTAGCTAAAGCTTCCAATTGAGGAGCTGCCTTATCCTGAGCCAATTTAGTGTATTCAGAAGTCTTTTCCTTGGCTAACTTAGAGTACTGAGCAATAGCTGCGTCAATTTCCTTCTTATTTCTAACGTAAACAGCTGGAACAGTGAAAGCTAAGACAACAACAATAGTGATCAAGGTGTACAAAGAAAACAAAGAAGTAATCTTGTATAAGATGTAAGAAATACCGGCAGCCTTCAAGGTAGCTTCAATGTCATGAGCATAAAGGATCTTTTGGATTTCAGCTTCAAATTTTTCATTGAATTCAGCAACGAGCGGTAAAACTTCGTCGTTGATTTTCTTAGCATAAGTCTTGGTTGCTGGCTTATATTTGGAGACAAAACCTTCGCCAACGACGAATTTACCTACGTATTCAAGAATAGCTGAAACTATAAGTAATTGTTAGTAAAATATCCTAATGTGGAAGACTGAAGGCACCACTCTAAATGACACTTTCAATCGAACTAAATGTAAATACATACCCAATAATCCAATGTAAGCAACATGGAAGAAGATGTTGAATAAATTCACTGTTTTAAGAACAAGTAAAGTCAAGATGATGGTACCGAAAACTTTACCAGTCTTAACAGGATCTTTCCAAGTTAACAAGTCACAGTGGCAGTTCTTTTGGGCAAGCGGAGCAGTTGTAGTTGGGGCAGTTGGAGTAGACATTGTAATAGTTGAATAAGTTTACAATTGATGAGTTAAACCAGTTGAATTAATAGTTGGTGAAAAAACAATTTATAATAACAATGGCGAAGTAGGGATCAATCAATTTTGCTTACTGTGAAAATTAAGGTATGAAAATGTCACAAGAGGAATCGAGAAACGGGCTCAAAACATTTCTTCAAGACATCGTTTGCTTTTTGAAGAGATTTATGTGTATTATTGCTTTCTCTATAAATTACGTGGCTGTAAAATGTCGGAAATAATCTAATCCTTGGTGACCTTCTTCTAGAGCAAGCTTTGTTAGTTGCATGTTGTTGTGATAAAAATGGATAATATCTGCGTGAGTAGATTTTGCATCTTCCTTTGACATCTGTGGATTGCGCAACTGGTCAAATTCAAGTAGGCTTCTCTCGCCTATCTGTTCTCTTAACCAGTTTAAATATAGTCTGTTAGAGTGACCTTGAAGCAAGTTTACAAATGTAGATAAGTACAGGAGTAGCTGAGGCAATTTGTCCTTTAGCTGATTCTCGATATTGATACAAGTTTGGGCTTTGGTATGCGTCTTCTGGAAGATATTAGGCTTATGCTTGTTTTGCTCGCATTCCTTGATATAGGTAACGTACGAGCTCCGTAGTTTTCTGTGCATTTGGATTTGGATCTTGACCTCATCGCAATAAGTAATAACTAGGGTGATTGCGGAGATCAATTTTGAATTAAGTTCTTCAACAAGCAAATGTGTCTTCAGCAATTGTGTTTCCATTTTATCAACGTAGCTTGAATAGATGGAATCAATATAATGGGCAGGGCCTTCGTGTGGTGCGTCGGTCTCTTGAAGAAATTGTTTCCACAAACTTGCGTATTTGGACTGTTGTTGCATAAATTCTATAAGTTGGCCAGAGAACATTTCGAAAGTCGCCTGGAGGCCTTTGATTCTATTATATTTGTCTCTGAAGGAAGTTACGAGATATATGTATTGGCCTCCACGCTTTGCCGGAAATTTTTCTTTGGGTGCAAACAGAATATTTCTTATGGGTAGCCAGCCTTTTCCTTTAGAGGGAGTACGGCCTTTACCTTTCGAAGGAATACTCTCTTGAGCTGCAACATCAAGTCTTAACTCATTTTCCAAAGGAATACATTTTTCAAGGTTTGCATCATAAATCGTCTCTCGTCTCTTCTTATCCAGCATAGTTTGCTTACTCTTTTTGTCTATTTCTTCATAAGAACCAAGGGATTCTTGTGTGTTGCATTCATCAATAATCAGATTAATTTTAATTAACGCTAGATTAAGCTCATGCTTTTGAACATCAGAACTTATTCCATTGGAACTATCTATCAACTGTTTTAAAAGTAAAGGATACTTCATTGTTCTTTGCATTGGCTGAATCAAAATAGTTTGAAGCGACCAATTTTTAGTCTTGGACTTAGTTAGAAAATCGGCCTCTTTCAACCACTTACTTACCGCAGGACCACCATAAGTGAGTTTGGCATTTAAAATTTTCATTCTGAAATTATGTTTTGCAAAATAGGCTAATATTGTTGCCTTAAAACTTGTTGCCTTAAATAATTGGTGAATACTCAAACCAATATCAAATTTGTGAACACTGGAATTTATAACTAACTGTCTGATATTATAATTAAAAAGATTCTGATTGTCACCGTCTAATTCAAATTTCTGTAACGATTGTGTATTGATGAAACCATTGCACAATTTTAGACTTTCTATGGTAGATTTAATAAAAGTCTTTGATATTTCCGTCAATAATGTAATATCTTGAAATATTAACATTTTTTCTTGACTAGTTAAAATATTCTGATACTCTGCAACGTTTAAAAGCAATGAACTGTAAACCGTTTGACACAAATTCAAACTTTTGAAATAATCTATTTCAGTTTCAATGATTTCAATTAATACCTTTTGAAACTGATTGAGCTGTTCTGGTTGACTGAAAAAGGATTTATGGATTGGTGAATCAATCTTCTTTTTCTGCGATGCCATTGGGACCTGAAAGTAGGATAATGAACTTAACTCGAGGTTTCTTTTATTTGCTTTGATCGGATTAGATATATCATACTGTTCTTTGAAATTTAAAAACGAAGTATCACTTGTATTACTACTAGGAGCTTGACTGATAACCTTGGGTTTCAACCAAGTTGGGCAAAATATATCGTCTTCGAAACCTTCTGGATCAGATTCAAGATCTGAATCCGATATATTAACAACTGTTTTCCTAGCTCTATTCTTAGCAATGCGAGTAGGTTGATCATCTTTCATCTTTGTCATGATTAAAATGGACTAATAATTTACATATTATATTATATCAATCAATTATCATAGCCTTATATATATATATGTATTCTAATGTTTTAGTTCTAGACTAAGTTTGCTAGCTGTTTCAATTGTGTGAGGTGTGTTTGAGGTTATAAATTTCGCAGTCAAAAAAAATTGTACTGAGGAAAGGTCGATTCTCAAATGTTTCACATATTATTCTGTTTCCAACAAGGTGGTCGGGCCGTTTTCCATTACACCCTTACCCAAGTAGTTCGTGATGACTTTAAAACGGTCAGGTGCTTCATTCAAGGTTTGCTCAAATAATTCAATGTCGTCTTTAGTCCGTAATTGATCAGCCCTAGCCGAATGTGCCAGTTCAAGATCATTGATACATAATGGACAACAACGTGTAGTGACATCAAGACCGTCCAAATCTGCGGTAGAAGAAATGAATTTGTTTTCATCTAAACAGCGTTGATGATACGAATGCTTGCACTTAAAATGAACAATTGGAAAATCTAACTTCATCTTACAAGAAGAGCATTTGTTGTTTTGAATAACAAACGGCTTGGAGGTCAACTCCGTTAGTTTGTGGGTATTTTTAGTCGATTCTTTCTCGTATGATTGAATTAATTTAACATTATTCGAAATTTCTTGTTTTTGAGTATCAATATACTCGATCAAGTAATCCTTAATTAATCCTATCGTTGCAAATTCAGTAACACTTAAAATTTGTATCACTTCCAAAGGAGTAGCTAGCTTTAAGGCTTTTATGCGGCTTAGAATGAACTGGATGTCCTTTGCATCAACTTTGTCAAATACCTCTTTTTTTGAAACAACAAATTTTAAGGTTTGCTTATATAACTCAGGTTTACTTTCTCCATACTTACGCACAATCTCGAAACAACCCTCAACGTCACCTGAAGATTGTGAAGTTCTAAATAAACTTTCCTCGAAACCAGATTGCTGCTTTGCAGCAATTTCACCTTCTTTAAAATCATATATGTGAGATATAAGTAATAGCGAAGATTTATTCAATAAAGATGAATACGTTCTAACTAATTCCTTCGCTTTGGAGAGCCACGAGTTTTTCTCACTATTCGACTTGGATAATGAAAGATACATTTCCAATAGAGTAATTAATAGATCTTTCTTATCATTAATATTACCTTGATATTTTTCAAATGTTTCAATGCATGCTTCCAAGAATATGACAAACTCGTTTGGGTTATTGATGTAAGAAGGGAAAATCAAACTAGGCTTCGGAGGTAAATATGTCGGTTCTGAGTGGGGATTAGTTGCAACACTCGATTCTTCTGAATCTGCCTTATCGGAAGAGGAGCCTGCTATATAGGCAAGGAATGCTTTATAACTGTTTAATGGGAATGCGACTTCGTCACTATTGATATTTGTCGTATCCAGGACCCTAGTCTTTAAGTTAACTGGCCCATCTGGTTGTTCCCGAGGAATATATTTACCAGTAAAAACATTAATCAACAACTCAGTAGTTTCAATAGGTAAACTATCTAATAAAGATTTAGAGTGATCAATTAGGATTAACAATAATTCATCAATTGCTAAACTTTTCATGTAGTCCAAACATTGCTTTGGTTGGTGCATATCATTTAGTTGTATTCCAACTATATGACTTGGCTGGTTAAGTTTATGTAATAATTCAATTGCTTGTGTAAAGTATCCACACTCTTTAAATAAGTTTATGATAAGTTGAAAGTTGAGTTCTTGCAAGTTTACTTTTGACAGATCTTCTTTATTAGAGGTATTCTCAGTTAAATCAAGTTCATTAATAAAATTATCAAGGTCTGTTATCATTTTCATTTTACAATAGCAACACAATAATAAGGTAAGGTGATCGTTATTAGCTAGTTTCAATTCATATAGTTTATATAAGAACTTAATCAAGTTATTAATATTTGATACATCCTTAAATTTTGTTATAACAGTCATGATGAAGTCGTCTATATTATCATCACCCTTATTCGCATCCAGCGAGTCATTTTTTTCGTAAAGTGTTAAACATTTAATGTAAGCATCAATCGATTCTTCAAACTCTGACTTATCATATAAATGGTCACCATATAATAATTGAATTTTAAGTAACATATCATTAGATAAATTTGCTTGGGTTGCCAAATCATACGCAATGTTGAACAAAGATCGTTGGAGAATCAATTCTATCTGTTGGTTGATAGGTCTTTCATGTAACTTATACAAAACTCCATCATTGCTTAGCATATAAAGGTCATCCCACATTGTAAAAATATAGTCAATTGTATTATTTGGAATGGTAAGACTGAAGAATATATGCTTGTTGTATAAATCTATTATCAAAATTCTAGTAATTGCTTTGCTGCTTACATCCGACGTATTATTCTTAGTTTGTTCTTCTATTGGCGAAACAATTAGCAAATAATTTTTTTTGTACTTAAATATGCTTTTCTTTGGTATTTCAAATGCCAAAGTATGACTTTTGTTCAAATGGCTATAATATCTTATTGAATCTTTTGTACCCACAATCAATTGTTGTGACTTGACATCTATATCAGAACAATTTAAATCAACCCCAGTCCGTTTGGAAAGTAATCTATTTGGTTTTCCATGATTTCGTCCTGTAGTTAGCACTGTCAAAATCTTGGAAGTGGTAGTAATGTACAATACGTCTTGATATTTATTGAATTGTATCCCAGTAATCGGATCATTAGTCTCATAAATTAGTCTTTGTTTAGAGCCTCTATCACGTATCAAATCTCCTCGGATGAGAATCACTTTACCGTTAGTATATCCTATCGCCACACAGGTTAAGTCGTCATTGAATTGGAAACAACTTATGGGAAACGAATTATCTCCGTTATGGATATTCACTTGTGTCTGATATTTATGCTTTAGCGATTCATCTTCATCGCTATTTTCGTCAGGTAACTGAAGAAGTTTGTTTAAGTCCCATAACTTTAATATAGACGGCGATCCTTGTCTCTCAGCTAAAGTCACAAGTAAATTGGAACCTGGTAACGCTTTTATGTACCCAATCCTGTAATCAAGATCATATGCAATAAATGTTTTTAACAAAGAAAACTCCTTAGAGATTAATTTTATGAATGAATTCTTAGTGGCAATGACTAAATAAGATGCTGTGGAAGTGATAGCTGATAAAGAATGATCAGAATATAATGGATTTTCACTACCATAATTGGGATCCTTTATTGGCGTAACATCAAATAATTGAAATTGCCTCCATGATGAAGGTAAGGACATCTTTCGATTCAATGATTATGGCTTTTTAGGTATTTATCTAAAACTATGGTACAATAAGAAGTAATAGATACTGGATATTGAAAGTTGGTGATACTCGCAGTCTTTTTGACGTTACACGTTTAAGAGTCCGACTGTTGAAATTTGATCAAATAAAATGTTATCATTATTTTCCTTTTTTCTATCAAAGTATCACTACATAAATCAATGAATTACGACCCAATACACGATACATTTGTTAGTCCATCGGCTAAGGAAGCATCTGCAACAAATACAGAGGATGACAACTTTACGAGTTCTAATGGTAATAACGTAAATGAGATCGTTGAATCTCCAACGCGGAAAGTATTTTCTATTGAAAACTTGATGGGACCCGGGAGCACTGTTTCTAATGTAGGAAGTGCAGAGGAGGGTGAAACAGAGACGGATGCGGAACACGATAATGATCATGATTTTACAGCTGCTAATTCTTCAGAGGTCGAAGGTGATTTATTGCCAAAGGAAAAAGGAGTGAAGAAGTCCGGTAAAGCAAAGAAGACAAATGCATCTTCTGCATCGAAGGGATTCCGTCACTTAAAAAAATCGGACGGGGAGCCATTTTGGCGTCGTGATATTCAATATGACTTCCTCCAAGAGTTGTTCGACGATGAAACTAAAGCATTTACCAATTATTTTCCATTTTGTGACATACCGACAGCCAACAACGAGCCTAAAATTACGTTTTCAGAGCTTTACATAAGGACGTTAGCTGAATCTGGAAAATGTTCAAAAATATTAAAGGAAAGATTATTAAAGGATGTTGAGATGGGTAAGTCCGTTGGTAAGGTCTGTTTGTTAGTTAACGCTGGTCGTATGAATACTACTGTAAATTTTGTCCCTGAAATGAGGTCTACATTGAGGACTTATCATTCTATACCATCGTTACAAGCAGATCCAGTCTATGGGGGATCAAAGCCATTGCAAGATACCCCTAGATTAAAATCTATACTAAAGGCGGTATCTGATGTTCACGAAGAATTGAAGTCATTGGAGGATATTCTTGAAAACCCCCCAGCAGATAAGCCAAATACAAATCTTGTTCAATTGTTGTTCTTTTTAAGTAACAATCTGAAATCCATTAAATTTCACCACGATTCTAATGAATACTCTGACAGCAATAACTTCATGGAATTTTTTTTAAATTCTCATATTCACCCTAAGAATCGTGCTAGAAGATTTCTTTGGTTAGTTTATACCTATTTGGAGACTAGCTTTACAGAGAATGAACTAGCATTAAACCCATTCAACCCAAATGAGATTCCCCCAATAGAGTTAATACCAGATAATGAAGTTGATGAATTTGATAAAGATACGGATTTTGAAATTGAGTACTCAGAAAAGATGTATAAAACAAGGCTAAGATACTTGGCCGACGAAGAACACAATAACAATCCTAAGCGTGGTAACAAATCAAAAAAAGAAAAAGAAGCTATTGATAGTGAAGACAACACCTTCGATGAATCAATAGATACGTCGTTGGAACAAGTTCCACTGACTACTAGCAAAAGACCCTTACCAGCGGACGATGTGAAAGCACGTAAGCGGAAGGGAAAGAGAAATCCAGCCATGCACAATACTGTTGTTTCTTCGCCTTTAACAAAGAACGTGATAACATCATCAACGGAAGTACCTAGCTCGCATGACGCGGAAAGTGAGCAAGCAGTGGAAACCAAAGAGGACACGAATATTAATTCTGGACATGGCAATACAAGCAGCAATAATGAAGGGGGTGGATCTACTGGATCTTTTGAAGAAGTGCCACTACCAAATGGAGAGCATCTTTCATTCCCGATCGAAGGACTTTCATCTATTGTTGATTTGTATAGTAGCTCAATTGATACTCGTTTAGAACCCGAAAGTACCGTCTCCATAACAACACATAATAATATTATAGCAAAGTCTAAACCAGTTATCCGTCAAGTTCGAAATTCCTCTAAAGCTGCAGGCATAGAATTTTCCAAAAAGACTGATATATTAACTGATTGGCTTTACAGGTTTTTTCAATACAAGAAGTCCAGTTCCAATGGACTTTTGGGAATGGAGTGGGAGTCGGTTCGTTACGATTTGGTGCACGGATCTGAAGCATTTATTTATCAAGAATTAGGTAGATTTGTCAATTCTCAACTAGATTCACCTGAGCTGGCAAATAACACTAATACTTCTAATAACATGATTGATGCGAACGGTGAAGATTTAGGTTTTGATTATTTACAGATTCATGACTTTAATCATTTCAATGAAAAAAATTCATTTTTGATTAATTTGATATCCTACTGCCACAGGTATTTTATTGAGCAAGAAGCTCAAAATCTTAAGACTAAAGACCAAAAGCAAAATCTTATTAAATTTGACTTGCTTAAGGAAGAAATCAACTACGCATATGATATATAGACTAGTCTTGAAAATATATTAAAAGTACATTGAGATATAAGTGTAATGCTCAGCCAGAGCTTATATGAAAAATATTATTGAGCAATATACACACAGCATTAAAGATTCCATACTCTTTCGATAGTCTTACGAATAGAGAATTAGCATCTCGTATGGCAAAAGATGATTTCACTACTTTTTCATCTGCTGCATGAATATCCTTTTCTTTTGTAATAAATACCCTTGTATCAGATGCACAGTCAGCATTGATAGAATTCGCTATTACTATTTCCCATTGAAGTTTAATAATGAAATTATCTTTTGAATTGTTATTCACTGGAATAGTAAATTCGAGATTGTCCACAGATTTAAGTATAGAGAATACTATAGAATCGTCTTCAATCGCTTGTTCTTGGATTAGATCTCCAATGTAACTATCAGATTTGATGTATTGACGAAAGTTCCTTAGTAGCTTGTAGAGGGTTGAAATCCTCTTGCGAATGGTTATGGATAAAGAATTCAAGCTGTACATTACTAAATCGACTTTTCCATTCAGCATATAGTTTTGTATCATGACTCTAGTAAAGGACGGTGAAAGCAATGAAAAATTTGTTATGACACCTTCTTTGTTATCATCATTAGGTATGGATATGGACAAGATGGATTCATCAGATGGATTTATGCTTACCTCTATGGGTATGCGAAATATATATGGTGATGTCACTGTGAAGCTAATACTTCTGACAAATGCACTCTTCTTATCATTATACAATGTCTTATTCTGGGCTTCACTGATCTCTAAATATGGATAGAACTTTTTCGCCATATTGAGCCTTTTTATCCAATCATTAGATGGCAATACATGTAAATTGTTTAATAGGTATTCATTATCATCTTGATCGACAGGTGCTTCCACCGTTTTAGGTTTCTGACTCTCAATAAACGCTTTATCACTTTGTTCTAAAAGTTTACCAAGCCGGTCTTTCTGTCTTTGCTTTTCGTTCGTATTCTGTAAGTATTTAACCTTGACCCTTAATTCTTCGACAGAGTTCTTGAGGGATGTTCGCTTTTTAATCAAATCGTTCCTCTCGTTGGACAAGTCTAGCTTTATGCTCTGTTGATTTAACAATTTTTCTAATTCTTCTATTTTATCATCCGGCAGTCCAGACCTGGATACCTTTAATCGATTTTCTTCTGTATCAGTATTTATATCTTCATTATCTTCATTCTTCTGTTGTTGAATATTTCGAGTATACTCGTAGATCTGATTTTGACTTTTCTCAGCTTGGTCGAGTAAGAGGTTGGGATTTCTATCTTGTTGATTTTCTACCAAAGGTTGACTTGGTGAAGTATTGAGGAGGTCCGACAATGACGTTATATCAGGTATATTACTCATTTAATACCATTAGTAAATATACTTCTGTTGATGTTTACTCTAACTTATCACGCGCTATATAGATTTCGAGATAAATAATCGTTAAATATATTCAGTGCAACTCATCTTCTAAATAGTTATATCTATATTAAACTTTATAAATATGGTTTCGGTTCCAGAGTTGAAAAACGTATGTTAAATATATTTGCTGATGACAAAGAAATAATTAATTACTAACTAATGTTGTAGTATATGGATAAAAAATTATCGATTCAACTAAATGGATCTAGGAAAGTAACTGGAACATTAAGAGGATATGATGTATGTATTTATTATTGGACATGCTATACACAATAGTGATACTAACAAAGAAGGTATTTTTAAACATTACTTTAGGCGAAGCATTAGAAGAACAGAAGAATGGTGATAAATTAAATATAGGCACAATTGTAAGTATTTTTCAAGAAAACCTTCGAATATCTAGTGGTAAAGATCGAGAGGATACTAACAAATATAGGTCATAAGAGGAAACTCCATCGTTTCTATGGAAGTAAGTATATGGTCATTTTGAAACAAAAATAAAAAAATACATACTAACAGTTACGACAGGCATTAGAAAAGGTATAAATAATTTTAATTCTAGCTTATCTATAATATAAGTGATATGGGCGAACACTGTAATAGTGTTTTATCTAATACTGCTTTTGTATAAAAAAATAATATATTAGACACATTATATTGTAATCAGCAGATCTTGTATCAATTTACTAAAACCTTTTAACCATTTCAACCCCATCGTTTTTGTATCCACACTTTTCATAGAATTTAACATTATGAGGAGAACAGTCCAAGATAACCTTATAACACGCTTTGTTCTTTGCTACTTCAGTCAAGCCGGTAATCATAGAAAATCCCAACTTTTTCCCTTGTTCTGATTTGGCCACGGCAATATCTTCAATATGACCTACTTTTCCACACTGGTGAATCGCTTTTCTTTCTATAAACAACATGCCTGTAGCGACGATTATTCCCTTTTCATTAGTGATTACGTGTGGTTGATATATCTCCGGCAAAGATTGCCAATGGTTGAATAAATCTGTAAACATTTCTGTTGATATTTCTCCAACAGTAGTCAATACTGTTAATGTTTCTAAATAATCATTTGAAGGGTCATCTTGTTTTAACTTTCTAAATGAGTATCCTGCCGGTAATTGCATCGTAGTAACCGTCTAAATGCTTATTTTATGTCTTGTGTCTTGAGCGGTTGATATATTTGTGAAAACTAAACTGAAGCAAGCACCTGCGCCGCTACTCAATTTTGAGGAAGTGTAGGAATTATGGAGAATAATTTACTTCCTTGTAATTTATATTTAACATTATTACCCAAATATAAAAGATTCGAAATACTATGGAATTTAAAACTGATCTGTTGAATTACAAAGCAGTTGCTTATAGTAGTAACGCTGAACCCATGGCTATTAAAGAGCAATCTATCTCATTAGTCAAGCAACAAGATGGTAGTTATAGTGTACCACCAAACAAGATTTTGGTTAAGGTGCATTCAGCAGCTTTGAACCCTATTGATTTAATATTGTACCAATCTTCGTCTAAGGTGCTTTCTTACTATAATAGTAACCAAGGAATTGGTAGAGACTATTCAGGAACTATTGTAGCAATTGGTGAAGTCGCAGCTAAAAAAACTGACTTCAGTGTTGGAGACAAAGTCTGTGGGTTGTATAGACATATTCTTGGTAAAGGTACTGTCTCGGAATATATCTTGTTAGATGGCACATCTGTAAGTGATTCTGCTATTGTTCCAGTTCCTAAGAATTTATCCATGAATGAAGCAGCAGCATGGCCATTAGTGTTAGGTACAGCATTGACAATGACACAGGGAAGAATCAAAGTTGATTCAAATGCAAAAGTACTAGTGTTAGGAGGGTCTACTGCTGTTGGTAGATTTTGCATTCAATTATGCAAAAACTACTTCAAGGCCGGTGAAATTATTGCTACATGCTCATCGTCTTCTGCGCCGATTGTAAGAGAAATGGGTGCAGATGATACCATAGATTATACCAGATATCGCTCGCTTGAAGGTCCAGTCGTTGAAGCGGTCAAATTAAGTAAATTTGATATTATCTTAGATTGTTGTGGTAATAGTGATTTGTTTTCGTCTATGTCGAAGATTTTAAAACCAAAATCTGAAGGTTCACATTATGTGACTATTGCAGGGGATAGTAAATATAGATATTCCGATGTTAGTTTGTTTGGCATTCTTATGCCAACGCTTTTTGCAATCATTAGAATGATCTTTTCTTTGATAGGTTTAAATTCATATAATTTTGCATTCGTTGCTGTAAACCCTGAGAAGAAATGGGCTGAAACAGGAAGAAAACTAATTGAAGATGAAAAAGTACAAGTATCCGTTGACAGCGTTCATCCCATTGAGAACTTTTATGACGCCATTAAAAAATTAGAGAGTCAAAGAGCAAATGGAAAGGTTGTGGTCCAAATAGGTAGTTGAATTAGCCTAATCATCTTTTATCTACGAAATAAGTATGAAAATTAGAATTTATATTAAGTTTAAATTTATATATAATTATATCTGGATTATATAAAAATGGTATTATGCGATTACTGTAACAAATAATACTCATGCATTAGGAGTTAAGATGCCTTCTGGAGTTTCACTTGGTGACTTTTCAGAAGTAGTGGAAGCATTTTCCTGCAATTCATTCTCTTCCTTGTCAAAGTTATCATCAATACCTAATTGAACATTGTATTCTTCAATATCTTTGACAGATAATTGTGGCATGGTAGCTGCAACTCTGAATGGTAATCTGTTGTCAACGTGTGCCTTAGCGAAGATGATATCAATTTCTTCTAAGGAACGACCAGCAGTTTCTGGATAAAAGAAGAAAATAATTGGGACGAAAAGATAGTTCATAAGGGCGAAGAATAAGTAACATCCAAAAGTACTTGTTTCAATGAAAATAGGAGTGAACATAACAACACCGAAATTAGTTAACCAATTAGTACAGGTGGAAACTGCAGAAGCAACTGTTCTTGTCTTCATTGGGTTAATTTCTGGTGGATAAATCCAAGGCATTGGCAAGATTGTAAAACCGAAGAAGACAATAAATAAGAAAAGACCCACAGCAGCACCCTTGGCATCTTGGGTATTATTACCATCATCTGGAATTAAACAAGCAAAAGTGATTGTGAAAGAAATACCTTGACCAATAGCACCAATCAAGAATAAGTTTCTTCTACCAAGTGTATCAACCAAGAAGAAGGAAGGAATTGTCGATAATGCATAAACAGTAGCGAAAACACCACCTAAAACCAAAGACAATCTTCTATCTAAATGAATAGTATTTTCAAATAAAACAGTAGAATAATAAATAGCCGCATTACAACCAGTGAATTGTTGGAAGAATTGACCAGATGAACCAATCAACATTCTAGCGAAATATTGCTCTTTACCACCTTTGAATAATTCCTTAAATCCAGCTTGGTTGTTATCAAATTTCTTAATGGAATCAGTGATGAAAGTGTATTCAGCATAAATCTCATCATCATCTGGAGATATATCTTTCATAGCAGCCAAAACTTCCATACCCTCAGCTTTCATGTCATGCGCAAACATCCATCTTGGAGATTCTGGCATTTCAATTGCACCAAATAATAAAAAGATTGCAAAGAATGCTTGGAAAGCAACTGGGAACCTCCATTGAACAGATGTATCGACATAAGACAAACCGAAATCGATCCAGTATGCAACAAAGGTACCCACAGCAATGACTGAACCTTCAAAATTAACCAAAAGACCTCTATTTTCGGCTCTTGACATTTCAGATTGCCAAACTGGAATAGTAGCAGTGTTCAAACCATTACCCACACCTGTTATCACTCTTCCAACAACAAACTGACCTAAACCCCAATGTGGACCAAATGCAGCAGTGGAAATGACGGTACCAATAATGATAATTAAAGAACCAGTAACGACTAAAATTCTTCTACCTGTTTTATCACCATAAAATAAAACAAACAAAGCACCAAACAAACATCCGATTTCATAACAAGCAGTAACAGCACCTTGATGAACAGATGCCCAGTGGTCAGTACCCTTTGTTGGAGGGAATTCAGCATTAAATTGTTCACCAGTAATAAGACCAGACATTAAACCTTGGTCATAACCGAATAAGGAGAACCCAAGAGTAGCCACCATGGTGAACATAACTCTGAGTTTTTTACCCCTTAGACCCATAGTGTTGGTTCTAGAAAAGAGTTTCAAAGCCATTTTGATTATGTTAATAACTTTAGAAATATATTTTCAGAGAAGGCAAATAAAAAATTATTGGCATTCTTCAGCCTTATATATATCGATGGAATGTTTGGGGGAATGGAGACGAACGTCGATGCTGCAAACACTGGAAAAGGTCTGTTTTGCAAGCACTTACTGACCGGTACATTATATGATGTAATTTAACGTATGTACAAAATTCCGTTCTATTCATGCAAGTAATTATTTGAGGGCTTATTGAAAACCCATGATTATAGCGGTTAAGAGCAATAAAAAGTAACCTGAGCTGCAATGCATTACTAGAGCATTTTACCGAATGACTAAAATAAGTAAGCAAAAACACACTTAATTCCGACCTTTAGCAGCAGTAGCTTTTATTTTTTTGAAAACTTTTCACTCGCTTAGAAGAAGTAATTCATGCATATTGGAATGCCATACTTCAAACTTTAATTTTTCCGGTTTCATGCATAATATTAGTTAACATCCATGGTTCAAAAAACAACTAAGGCTGTGGTCTCTTTGTACTTGCCAATTATAATAATAGATTGTAATTATGAAATGGGACAACCGCTCAAGTTGGGTGTGTGTATTTAATACTTTGGTTCTGTCTCTATTAAAAACTTCTTATCCCTTGACGAGCTTAACTTATATCCGAAATACCCGACATATACTATATGTCAAATAAATTTTTCCGTGAATGAGACGAAGGGTTATGAACCAGCATCGATGAGATTTAATACTTTTATGATGGATTTATGCGTAATGACACCCTTGACGTGTATCCTGTTGATCAGGTAATAAAAGATGTAATCCGAACGTTATGGGTGTATGGATGCAGAGGCTCTGACCTACCTCGCAAGACAGCCTAATAGGGAAATATTCCTGCAAAACAACTAATACTGGTTTGTAAGCCTCTGTAAACGCCTTTCAGGAGCCAGCACTTACTTCTAGAAGGCCTATTAATAATAATAACAATAATAATAATACATATAATACTAACTGAAATAGATATCTATATCGGTTGCCCGGACATGTCTATACGTCATCAAATAAAATTGGTCTCATCTGAATGATACCTAACAAACATGCACGGAGTCGTAAATCTTATTCAAATCCCAGCGTTTTGTTATATTTGCTTGTAAGCTTCCTTTGATTATTTCAAATAGCCAGCTGAATTCGGATTTATTGTATTGTAACCATTGATCATGCAATTCCTCTATTTCTCGTTCCCGTTTATTATCGACTAGTGACGAAGAAAACATGGAGTTAGAGCGTTTATCCGATTTCGTCAGACGTTCCGATTTCTCCACTTCTGCTCCACTGTCGGCGTTACTGTTACTTTCGCTTTCATTTTCCAGGTCATCGGCAAGGACCCATTGCAAAAGACATGCCTTTTTCAAGTCAGTCTTACTGTAATCCCCGGAAGTAATGATCGACCTCAAGGTTGGTTCATATGGATGTTGAAATGGCAACTTCCCAGTGCACATTGTATACATTAACACACCCAATGCCCATATGTCGGCTGATGGCCCTAATGGTGGTGGAGATGGTAAGAGTAACTCTGGAGATGCGTATGGAAGCGATCCGATATGCGAATGTGGAAGTCCTGAATCTATTTTACCTTCGGGTTTATTATTATTTTCGTGAAATTGATATAACGAGTGATGTGAATGTTCTGGAGTTAAATCTACGGATTGTAAAGATGGTCCGAGATGCTTAAACAAGTTATCCATACCTATTTTTGAGTCGTCGGTAAACAAATTTCTTGTGTTCTTAGTATCACCTCCATGATAAGGTTTTCTTAAGTCGGTTGTTGATGACTTACTCCTGATAGTTGAAGAAGCAGAGGTTTGCGTAGGAGATAAGAAAGACGATTTCTTACTGACTCTTGATGTATAAACTTTAGACATTCCAAAATCACATAATATCACTTTTAGGTCATCTTTATTGCGGTCATCCACTAGTGCATTTTCTAACTTTAAATCACCATGAACCACTCCCATTTCTTCGTGTAAATAAGTCAAAGCAGAAATTATTTGCTTTATAAACATTTTTGTCTGTGACAAACGAATTCTTTGGTTTTCTATCAGGAATGACACAGGTCCAGACATATTTTGCATTCCGAAGTTATAAATACCCCACGATGATACAAGCTCGAATAATGTTCCACCAAAGATTCTATTTGTTATACAAAATATTGCTGTATCTGTTTCCAAATGGTCAATCAAAGGCAAGATATTCTCATGCTTTAGTTGCTTCCATATATTAATTTCTTTCCTGAACACTTCTAAAACCTTAGGGTTATGCTGAGGGGGCCGTGAATGAGTTGGAGAAATTTTACTACCCAGTGAAAGTGAAGGTGCAGATGCACTGTCTATGTTTCTGCTAGATTTAACAATTTTTACAGCTTTAATTATTCCACCTTCACCACAACATTCCCTTATTGTTCCCCAGGCACCAAATCCTATGATTTTTCCTAATTCATAACCCATTACCATGGCACCTTTTTCATCCACATTATTTTTCTTCTGTTGCGTCTCTTCCATCTTCTTCAAATCAGAAGAAGATGAAGATGACAAAGCTAACAAACGACCTGCTACAGTATTAGTACTATTATGACGAGATCTCCTAAAACTTCCATTATTCGAGCCACTTCCTGGTGTTTTTCCAGAGCTGGGTGGCATTTTATCTGTCAAGTATTGCTTAGCGAAGAGTGAAAATTGCGAATAGTCTATTGATTCTGAAAATGACTTTACTACTTTCTTTCTCTGTGAATAAGGAAGATCGTTGAAATTGGGTGGCAAGCTGCTAAGAATCAATTCGTAATTAATATCACCTGTATTTGGATCAACTATTTGAGACGATTTCAACCTTCTCTTTTTATGATCAGAGTCAACAGTCGAAGTTAATGTGGACGTTGAATTATTAACATCTTTATTCGCTGTCACTGGTGCTGTGGTACTTATGTTTTTAGGAACCCTGCTAGCCTTCATAAAATCACTCAATTTCGAATACGAGTACTTATTACTACTGTTCAACTGGCCCCTCAATGCAATGGGTTGTGGAGAGACCTTAGCATGCAACTTATTCAAATCTAAATATGACGCATCTCTACTCAGTGGAGTATTGGAAGTGCTGGTAGATGTGCTGGTGGATATTGTCTCATCGTACAAGCGTGATAGATTTTGATCAGACGGTCTGTTCCATTTGTAAACCATGTCCCCAAAATTCAATCCAGGAATATATTCATCCTCTAAACCCGATAAATACTCGCCGTATCCATATTCATTATTGGGACTCATGGGACTATGGTCCGAATCCGGAGAATGAGTCCTGGTTCTCAATTTTCGTCTGCTCTCCTCTAATGGACTTGTTATTGTATCTCTATTACTATCTGTCTTGATCTGACGTCTACTCAAACTGTAATTATTATCCTTCTTCTCTGCAATCATCTCCTTAATCGATCCCATGTTCTCTGACGAATTCTCCCTGTCTCGTTGCTGCCTCTGTGTTCCCGTTTCGTTGCTTTCGTTTTCGTATTCTACTTCATTTTCATCGTATTCTATTTCATTACCATCGTACGGCCCTAAAGTGAATTTGGACTCGTCCAAAAGGCTCACCATTGATACCTTTGGTTGTGATTTAAGTGGTATATCCATTGTAACTAAGTATGAGTGTTACGAGATATTCTTTATAACTTATTTAATTCTTTTTCTTTTAATTGTTATCTTATGTCATCTGTGTTATAGAATCTACAAGTTTCTCTACCCTCTAATCTAGTTTATATTCACTTTATGCTACTATGCCTGTTCATATAAGAAGAATATATAATAATTCAATGTCGTGAATGACCACAAATAGTGGAGTGACGCGACATTTTTGGTAACAAGGTATGATGAGTATATACCTATTGTTTGGACATTATCAAAGGGTTTAGGAACGGTTCAGCTAGCATGTCAATGGCATCAGGGCGCTTCTCGTAATCGAGCTCGAAGGTTTTAGACAAAAAATCTTTAGCTTCAGAAGTGCACCATTCTGGAATTTGGGGTGTTATATGAGTTCCTATTTTGAAAATAGCTTGCATCTGACTAAAATCAGGAAATGGGTGTTTACCAGTAAACATTTCTACAATAAGACACCCCACAGACCAGATGTCCGCCTTCTTTGTGTAAGCAGTCTGTTTAACAACTTCTGGAGCCATCCAGTAGACTGAACCTTGTAGAGAAGCTCTTCTTTCTCCTTTTTTCTGGCCATTCGTGTCGTCTTCCATGTCAACCTCAGAGTTTCCCACTTTTTTCGAGATTCCGAAATCACTGATCTTGACGGTACCTTTAATGTCAATCAAAATGTTCGCTCCTTTAATATCTCTATGAATGATGTCTTCTCCGTGGAGATAGCTTAATCCTATGAGAATCTGGCGGATGAAATTACGTATTAACGGCTCCTCAAATGGTCCATATGACGAAAGCATCGACTGTACAGATCCACCAGGAACGTATTCTAGAAAAATATTCAAGAAATTATCATCGGTAGAAGATCCTAGATATCTCACAATATTTTCATGATTGATTTCCTTCAACAATGTCATTTCGTGTTGTAAAGCATCGATCATTGCCGTTTGCAGGGTATTATTTATACTGTTTTTGTCAGGTAAGCAAACTTGTTTAACAGCCATCAACTCCCCAGTAAGAGGATTCATTCCCAAATAGACTGTACCAAAGCTCCCTGCACCAATACGGGCTCCCTGTAACCAATTTTTCGGCCCGTCTTCTGAAATAGAATCAATCATGCTATCTTTATAATCATGATCAAGTTCTCCGCTTGTGTATGTACCATATTCATCAATAAAGTCGTCTTCATCATCATCTGAATCAATACTTAACAATTCAATGCGTGAATTCCTATTATTTTCTGCATGAAATGGATCAACAAAACTAGCCGCAATGGAGCTTCTATTTAATATAGGGGAATTGTGGGATTTCATCGATCTTGATTCAAATGAATCTTGACCTGGCCCACTCATATCTGATCCAATCGATTGAGGTTTACTAAAAATGGATTGAGAATCATTGGTGTTCACAGCTTGGTCGATTGCGTTGATGTTCTTCACCATCATTTCACCAATTGTCCTACCACTAGGTTTTCTTTTTGCTGCTGCAGAATTATGGTCTACTGACGAAATGGATGGAGTTTCTGGTGCTCCATTGGAGGCAAATCCGGTTCCACCGCTTAAAATTGATGATCTCTTATTCTGTGAATTATGAACAGAAATATTGCTACTCCCTCCAGATATTATGGAAGGTGGAAGGTTAAATCTTTTTGAAAGTCTGACGCTATATCTAACAGAATTACGTACAGTGGCTTCCAAATCTTTTTGGTGTGCTTCTGGAAAGTATTCAGCCAAGTTAGAAGAAATCAATTCACTAGGTGGTCTTTGGCCGAAAAAGTTTCTCAATATTGGACTAGCGTGTGTCTTTAGAGGATCGGGCATATGATATTGACTGAAATTGTCCTGGCTCTTTGTTTTCAAAGAATCTGTTTGACTATATCTTTCATACTTAGCCATTAGTCTCTTAGATGTTTCCATTGCAAGATCTGAAGGATATTCATCCTTCCGGCATAGTATTATTCTATGCTTCTCTAACCTGTCAGGAGAATAACAGATCGTCACTAATTCAACATCAAAAAGTAAATTGACACCAGGACTACCCCTACTGTTTAATGAGGAGTGAATATATGTATTGTATAATGTCTCCTGTTGCTTTATTCCCAATCTTTTCAATACCTTACGTTTAATTGATTGTGCGTTGAAACATCCTGTAACATTTACTTTCTTCGTAGATCCGTCTTGTAAGATGAACGTTACGTTCTTATTGGCATCCTTATTGGCTGCATTAGAAGAAGAGGAAATATTACTGTGTAAATATGGATTATTAGTTGTAGTCAACGTAGTTGATTCATTAGTAGGCGTGGATACTGATCCGCTACTAATATTTCCCCTGGATTGCAGAGTAACACTATCTGACAGATGCAAATTCATTACCTTATACAACTCATCAACGCTTATACTGTCAGCCAATTTTTCAGACTTCATGCTTGAAATCGCTAATTCTAATCTCAACCTATCTCCCAATTTATTAACTCCAATTTCTTTAAGTGACGAACTGTCTAATTCTGGTAATAGATCAAATGTTATCCCATTTTCTATAAATTTGTTGTAATGATGCTGGCAATTAGATTTGATCAACCACTGCTTCAATTCTTTGGAATCTTGATGTAGCTCTCCTAAAATTTGGTCTCCCAGCAAGTGCATGGTGAAGCTAGTAGAGTTTCTGTGTTCGTCAGATAATTCACTCATTTTAACTTTTTAAACTACCAGAGTATTAGAGATATAATAAAGGATTTAGTTGATCAGAAGTGTCTATAATATTTCGATCTGGAATCTATCGTTTCAGTGTGGAAGGCTGCGCGTGAGATTTATAGAATAACTGTATATTATCATTATACATATTTAAAATTTAACCTACTATACACCTATGCGAAGTCAATTTAGTTGGAATTAATGACATTACCACCTGACACCAAAGTTTGATGGTCAAAGGCTACATCTGGCTCACTTTCTTTTCGCTTCCAACTTTTTATCTCTCCAGCATTAGTATCAATATCAAACACCCTCATTCTCCTTATATATCCGCCATAGCCACCATAACCACCTTCACCCGATCCACCACCATAACACAACCAAAGCTTGTTTTCGCCCTCGTTGTTAGCTGTATCCTGTAAGCAATAATCATTACAATGATCATGGCCAACACTGGCGACTGATACACCCAATTTTCCTAAGATAGATCTAGCACCAGAGTTGTACCTTGGAGCAGTTATACCTTCTTTCTTTTCACCTACCATAGGTTGGTCAAGATTTCTATATTCGGGCAATGGAATATGGAAAAAAGCCATCGACAAATGGATGTGAGAGTAAGATGCGACCGATTTTTGCAAGCTTGCAGCTTCTTTTTCCAACCATTTTAATTGAGATTCTTTCACCCAGTCATAACCGGGAGTTACCTTAGGATTTAAGGAATACTTATGGGTATCCAAAAAGAATAATGACATAGCTGTGTTACGGGACGAAGGTCCTTCGACTGTCAAAGCATAATTTCCAACACCAGCTACTTCGTCTGCACCTAAAGAAGACATTGAATATGGTAAATTTGCAGACAAACTCATAATTTCTGTTCTAGACAAAGATCCTTCATCATCGTGGTTTCCCATGGTTACTGCAAAGGGTATCTTTCTCTTAATAAAAGGGTTTAATGCCTTAAATAATGCTGTTTCTGAATCTTTAGCTTCATCGCCAAAGATCTGGTCACCAGTTAATACTACGAAGTCTGGTTTTTCTAAGTCGAGCACATTCTCTAAAAATTTTAAAGTCCTTGGATCGGCCTTGCAACCCGACCTTGTTTCATCAGGCGATGGATCTCTACACTTGCCAACGCCAGTTGAGAAATGTAAATCGGCAACCTGAAGAATTTTGAATTTTCCGTCTTTGTTAATTTTAAGAGGATTTGTATTCTTCTTATAGTCAACTCTAGGTCCTTTCCGTATTGAGATATAAGCTGGTTTACCGGATGGACTCGAAACTTCTCTCAATGGACCTTCTTTGATTAACCTCCAATTTGGTCTTGGATCTACGGCATCCTCACCAAACAATATATCGATACCTGTTACAGCATTTGAATCCGCATTACCATATTTCAACCATATACCATTAGACTTATAGCTCCATCCTGAAGCGACTAATTCTTCTTTAGTTGGAATAGGATAGCTGACTTCTAAATTATGTCTGCTAGTTTCGGTATCTCTCTCATATAATATCTCACGCTTGTTCTTATCTTCATCCTCAATAACGTCGACGTTTATATCCTTTTTTGGTTTTTGCTCAGTTTTCTTATCGACCACTTTCTCCTTATTATCATTCTTTGCAGCCTTGGCATCGTCTTTGATCTTCTCTTTGTCCTGGGTATCGTTCTCTTCTGGTTTCTTCTTATTTGGTGTTTTCAGTTCTGTTTCATCTTTACTCTTTTCATCTGCTTCACCGCCTTCCTCTATCTTAATCAAATCATTTTCCTTATCGTTCTTTTTATTTGCGCTATTAGCAGCCAGAATATCCTGTTCCAATTTTATTTTGATCTTATTGCTTGCAGAATTATCCTTATCTACTGTCAAGGCTTGCAACGTTTCTCCCTTCATGTTCGCCTTTTGTTTCTCGACTAGCTCCTCGTGATGGCCATCATCGTATACTTTCATCGAATGAAATTCCTTCAAGATATACCTGGGGATTCTTAATTTATCATTGTCCGGTACTTTAGCGTCAATCAAAGGATTAGAAATTGCAATATCAACTATTACTTGATTCTTCTTCTGATCTTCCCCTCTCTTTTGCGTTTTCTCTTTTGAAGTATCATCCACTGCAACTTTACCTTCCAATGCTTCCTTCTTAGCTTTTTTATAAGAGAAATATTCCTTTCGATACCATGAAGAACCTAGCGCTAAATCTTTATCAATCTTGACCCATTGACCTGAACCATATAGATTACCCATTAACCCTTCAGATGCGCTTGGCAAACCGCAGTTTTCATTTTTCGACTTCATCTTAAAGCAATTCTGTATAGCTATGTCAACAATGAACAGATCTGCTGCTGGTTGAAAAAATGATGGTAAAAACCCAGTTGGTAAATAATCATCTAATCCAACATTATTTCTATTAGCCACTAAAAGAACTACTATCGCAGCAAAAAATATCAAAACAAGATAACCAAGTTGACGTATCCACCTTCTGGGTAGTCCAAACATCGTTACTTAACTAGTTCACGAGAATAAGCCATTAACCCATATATTGAACTCACTAAAGAACGAGATCTACGTTAAACCATTTCGCCCTGCATATGATTTTAGTCAATATAATCCGAACCTTTTTGTCAATTACTTACCCAACTACAATTATATGACCAAATAGTCGATGATAACTGGGAATAGTAATTGACTGCAATTAATCAAATACACTACAAAAATTACAAGCATTGTTTTCACTTTTTTCATCAACAATATATATTTTTAGACTAACTATGTAAGTAGATCACTCTAGTTTTCAGCAAATCTATCAAATATCATTTTCGTAACAATTGCGTTAAAAGTAACTATCGTAACATCATAAATCTTATATTTTCAACGATTAGGTATCCTTCTTTTCTCTCAAATTGCTACGTTCCTCTTCCAATTTCTGTTCTCTAGCCTTAGCTTCAGGTTCGATATCTGGAAACGAATTCGGATCAACTTGAGGCTTGTGTTGTTTTGGATCAATTACCACATGATGGGGCTTGTTAATTGAACTGAAAGGCACCTGTTTACCACCCATGTTAATCATCAAGTTATCAGGGTTAAAGTTTTGCTGATCGAGCTCTTCTTGTGTTAATTTCTTATCTTCTGACATTCTGGTACCTGGAAAATTATAATATAAGTAGATTAATGATAAGATTATACAACTGAATAGAATTGGATTCATTAATTAATTACAAATAATTGTTGTCAGTAGAAAGGTGGCAATAGGAGTTTGCAAGGTTGATCTACTATCGTGGTTGCTTCACATGTGACTATAAATGACTATATGCAGAAGATTATGATTAGAGATATATCCTATGGAACAGGTTCAGCTAAATTACCAGGGGAATCTGGGGATCCAGCGATTCCATTTGCAACTCCTCCTGTGCTATGATTCATACCCACTTCTGGAATCATGCGGGTACTTAAGCCCATTGCATAGATTGTTATAAACATAACAACACAATGTAAGCCGAAACAATATACCATAAATAGCATTCTGGTAGTTCTAGTAGCAAGAATCGCTCTTGTAAGTGAAATAAATAATCGCTCTATTGGAGAAAGTTTTGAACTAATTCTCTCTTGCTCGCGAACTCTAAATTGCTCAATAGGGTGCAATTTAGATTCGTATGTTTCTTGGTATGGGTTGCGCTCAAGATCAATTGAATTTGGTTTTGGTTGGAGGAGTCTTCTATTAGATGTCCTCGAACTGAATGATTGGGTTTCTGTTGATCCACTATTACTACCGTTATTGAAGGATGCCAAATACCTAGTCCTTTCGTATAATTCCTCATTATCCTTTTTGAGACTGTTCATTTGTCTCTTCAAATCGCTGACAATGTTATACTGCTTTTTGAGATCATCCTCCAACTCATTATTTCTGTCCCTAAATCTGTCTCTTTGTTTAGTTATAATAGGCAATATAGAGGACGCATCTCCTGTTGAGGATCCAATTGCATTTAAAGATACAATGCTTCCATTTTTAGGACGACCTGAGGTTATCTTGCTTACTCCTGAGATCATACTCATGTTATCGTTAAATTTCTGACCATCCTGTACACCTGCTAAGTCATTTTCTAGTCTCTGATTCAACTCTTGGGCCTTGATTAATTCTTCATTGGCCCTACTGAGCTCGGAATCCAAGTGATTTATTCTGTTAGTTAAATCATCGTGCTGTGATCTGAAGTCAGCCAATTCTTGGGTCAAAACTTTATTTCTTTGAATCAAGAGTGAATCGATTTGCTTACGGTTATTATCGGTTTCGTCAGAATCAACTCCATCCTCGTCAGTACCAAATTCAATCTGTCTTATCAAGTATAATTCACGCTTTATTTCATCGTAATCACTAGTTTTTTCAAGTTTTTCTTTACAATTTTTAATTTCCTGCGTTAATTGAGAAATTTCTCTATTAAATGAATCCGTCTTGTTTGAATTTTCCTTGGTTATACCATCCAATTTTTTTCTGTGTTGATCTAAATTAGCTATCAACAACGCATTCTCTCCTTCAAGCTCTGAAACCTTCTTTTCATATTCTTCTTTTAAATTCTTTCTTTCCACATCACTCTTAGATCTGGATAGTTCTCGTCTGAGTTCTTCGTTTCTTTTTTCTAATTCAAATACCCTTTTCTTGGCCGATTCAGCATCTCTAGAGACTATTTCTAATTCAGCCAATGCCGAAGCAGAAGAATTTATTTCTGTGCTTCCAAGCTGCTTATTATGCGAAGTCAATTGCAACTCAGTAACTTCTTTTGATGTTCTTAATTCATCCATTTTTGCTTTGAACTCATGCATCTGCTTTTCGTAATTCTTTTCCTTTTCAAGCCAGTTGCTTTGTTTCTCGTCGATCAATGCCTTGAACTCCTCTTCTTTGGCATGCAATTTCGAGCTTAGCAACTCGGCCGACTTTTGTTCATTTCTTAAAAGCCTTTGCTTCAATTGATCATAATCAGCTTTTTTAGATAATTCTTCATTTAATTTTGATACTTCTTTTCTTAATGATTCAGTTTCAGAAGAAGCGATTACTGCGTCCAACGATAATTCCAAGAGAGGTCTAGGATCTGGAGCTTCTGCTAACAAGCGGTAAAATCCAAAGAAGTATCCTTCAACATCTTTTTTCTTATTTGTTAAAGAATCAATTTCGTTTTGATATAACTTGAGTAGTCCTTTAATTTGGTCAAGCTTGTCAGAATCCTCCAACTTTCTGAATTCTTTAGTCTTAGTTGCCAAGTTTTTCCTCCGCAACAACGAGTTTTCTTGGTCATCTTTCAACTCCAACCCTTGAGTATCCAATTTCTTCTGTAGCGAAGGAAGATCAATTTGTGTCCATGTCTGTAATGCAGAACTGAAAGAACTCGAGGTTTGTGATTTGCCTGCAATATCTTGGGTTTCTTCAACCTTAGAAAGTTTTGTTCTTAGTTCTGGATTTGAACTGGCTATATCTTCTTCTGCCATATTGCCCTTATTGAAACCTAATTATATTCGTTCTACTCTGGATTGGATCTACGGCCGTTGTTTAATCCTTGATTATGGTTCCTGAAATCGTAGACAGTATTGACGCACGTGACTGTTATTACTTTACCTTGCCACAGTGAAGATGGGAGCTATAGTTACGGTAATATATGGAGCTTCTACAGAGTTGAAGAGAATATAGCTGAATTCATCAGCTATTACTATTCTAGACTTTTCATACTTTTACATGCATTAATTTATATTTTTTGTATTTAAAAAAGAAAAACGATCAAGTCTCAATTCCAACTTAACAAACATAAAATAATAAAGCAATTAAATGAAGGTTTCATATGGAACTGGAGCTAAGGTTTGTGGAACGTTTTCCTTGGTAGTGACAACTCTAGCGTCTCTTGGCTTGACTGGTTGTCTCTTTAAGTGGACGTGTTCACCCTTGGCCTTGGCTTCTCTCTTTAAAGCAGCGTTGGATTTAACTCTGTTGATGAATTCTTGACGACAAGCAGAGTGCTTAATGTGTTCGACTCTCAAGTTAATTCTCTTTTCGAGGTATCTGTTACCAACAACCTTGTAGACAATAACACCGACAGCAGACTTGGTGACGTTGTAAACGATACCAGTCTTACCTTGGTAGTACTTGTGTGGCATACCCTTTTGGATAGAACCATTGGCCTTAATATCAACAATATCACCAACTCTGTAAGTCTTTAAGTAAGTAGATAATGGAATAGCACCATGCTTCTTAAAGTCACGTTGAAAAAGGTAACGAGTACCAGATCTATAACCACGACTATAATTATGTTAGTATTTACCTCTCAATTCGTAGACTTCCTTGAGGATTCGTATCATACATTTCCTTTCGTCTCCATTTTTTCCACGCCTCTATTATAACCAGGCTCATTAAAACACCTAATCTCCCTCACTGATGTTTTCTTATTCAGAACGATTATCTCCTGCTCTTAATAGTACGATTTGTTCTGTAGTTCAATCTTTTCATTTCGATTTACTTTTCACTTCTTACTATTTTTCAATCAAATACTCTTCACATTGTAATGTATGATACGTAATACTCTCATTTCCGTCTAGTTAATGTTATTAACACATACGATTTACCCATTTTTAATCTTGTTCAAGTATAATAGAAACCTTCAAATCTCTATAAAATGTATGTATGTATATTGAAATTATCGTACTAGTCGGAGTAGCGAGAATTGAAAATTTTCATTTTTTGAAGTTTTGTGTAATTTCGGGCTACAACCCTAAATCAGTAATCGTCTTGAGAAAACGATCTGATGATCATGATGATAGCTAACCATATTATGGCACCTGGCAGATTAATTGGTTAACTAGCAGCCTTATGATGTAGTGAAATGTGTGTTAGTAGTATTTCGCTCAATTACAAAGGAGAATTACCCATAAATAACCATTAATTTGCTATACTACATAAATATAAATGAAAAGTGGATTGGAAAAGACCAAATTAGAATATATTATTAATTTAAAGTGAAAGTAAATATTAACTAAAAATCAAATGATTTATTCTTCTTCTTCAGCATCAGCATCACCAGCATCCTTGTTTTGGTTTCTTCTCTTAACTCTACCGGCTCTACCACCACCGTATGGGGAGTTGTGGGCGAAGTCGATGTGCTTTTGGGAGTCTAATCTGACCATGAAAGATGGGACGTTGACGATTTGCTTACCAACGGCAATGTGTCTTTGGGTGATCAAGACTCTGGCGTGGTGGATAGATCTGGCTAAACCTAACTTGAAGACTTGGGTTTGTAATCTTCTTTCTAAGAAATCTTCTGGTTGTAAAGCTAAGACATAATCTAACTTCATCTTGTCTTCGGATAAGACACCAGTTCTGACTAATCTTCTAATTAAAGCATTACCTTCGAATAATCTCTTTGGGTCCTTTTCTTCTCTGGTTAACAAGTCACGAGCAGCTCTTCTAATCTTAGACAATTGGAAACCAATTCTGTAGATTTCTCTCTTGTTCTTTAAACCGTATTCACCAGCTAACTTTAATTCAGCGTCTAAACGAGCAGACTCATATGGTTGCTTTGGGACGGAGTAAGTCTTAGAGTAAGTTCTTGGAGCACCTATAGATGTTAGAATGTGTTCTGTGCGAAGGACACTTCGAAATTACGGTTTCGACACACAAATGTCAAGGTATAAAAGCATTACAACAAGTCATCAAATGATCAGCTTCTTCACAAACAACCGCATACGACCTAACGTATGCCAGTATAGCAGCGTGCATAAGCAAAACAAATGAGACTTATTACTATTATTTGTAACTAAAGTGTCGGGAATTTAGTCACAATAATAAGCTCTGATACAATGATCAAATGAATGAGGACCCGAACCTCAATGAATAGAGAACTATTCATGTTAAGAAGCTAGAAGTATTTATGTTATAATATTTGAATACATACGAGGCATGTTGACTTCTTTTAGTTTAGTTGATTAAAAAAACTAAGTGAAAAATTATTTACTGCGAGAGATGGACTTATATACTAGCGAGAGTGAAAAAAAAAGTTTTTCATGAAGCTGCCATTTTCACTCGGTCAAAACCTCGATCCCATATATACGCAAGCCAGTGTAATTTTCAGCCGGACTTGTGTGACCGGAAACTTCAGCAGTTTTGCAACTTTGCAGTTTCTGCCATTTTGGAACATTTTGCGGGTTAGATCTACTTAAGTAATGGAATCCTGTTAGCAAGACCATCATATATACGATATATCGGGTTTAAGATGAAGTTTGTAGCTTTGATATCCGGTGGTAAAGATTCTTTCTTCAACATACACCATAGTATATCAAGGGGACATGAATTGATAGCATTGGGGAACTTGTATCCCAAGCAAGCCGGTATCGATGAGCTTGACTCGTTTATGTTCCAGACGGTGGGACACGATATAATAGAATACTATGGTGAGTGTTTGGACGTTCCGCTCTACAGACAAGAAATCAATGGGTCTTCTAAAAATCAGCGATTAGAGTACTCGATTACAGAGGAGGATGAAATAGAAGATTTGTACTTATTGCTTAAGACGGTGAAGGAGAAACATCCAGATGTAGAAGGGGTTAGTTGTGGAGCAATTTTATCGCATTATCAGCGAACAAGGGTTGAAAATGTATGTGGTAGGTTGGGTTTGACATGTCTTGCGTATTTGTGGCAGCGAAATCAGCTTGAATTGATGGGGGAAATGTGCAACAATCAGTTAGATGCCAGGATCATCAAGGTTGCAGCAATTGGGTTGAATTCCACACATTTGGGAAAATCGATACAACAGTTGTATCCCTATTTAATCAAGTTGAATCAGATGTATGAGGTTCATATTTGCGGTGAAGGGGGAGAATTCGAAACTATAGTGCTTGATGCTCCATTTTTCAAGCATAAGAAATTGGAAATTATTGAGCAGGAAGTTGTCGATCATTCTAATGATGATGTCTCATACCTAAGACTTAAAGTCGAGATACGTGATAAAGGAGACGCTCCTTCGAATATTACTTTAGCTCAACCGCACTTGTTAAGTGAACCGTTCTCAACTATTTTGGAAGAACTTGTGGAAGAAATTAAAGATGACGAACAAAGCAATGAATGTACGCTACCAGATACGGACAGTCAACCAGATGTTTATGTTGTCTCAACAAAGGATAAGTTGTATATTTCTAACTTAACAAGCACAAAATCGACTTTGAAGGAACAAACAATCGATATCTTTACAAAGTTGAACGATATTTTGGTTATCCATAATTCCTCGTTCAATGATATCCAGCATGTAACTTTGCTTCTCTCGAATATTAATCAATTCAATGATGTAAATAAGGTATACGAAGAACAATTCAGTAAATTTTACCTACCACCTTCCCGCATATGTATTGAAACTACTTTAAGCAAGACATCATTAGTTCAGCTTTCATGCACAGTCATACATTCAAAAGTCAAACAAGGTATTCATATTAGGTCCAGATCGTATTGGGCCCCACAAAACATTGGTCCTTATTCGCAGGCTATAGTTGAAGAAAAATTACAATATAAAATAGGTACACTTTCTGGTCAAATACCTTTAGTACCTTCATCTATGGAGTTATTCAAAGAGTCAAAATTAAGCGACAGGATTTATAGCTCTGTCTTATCATTGCAGCATTTGCATCGTGTTAAAGAGTTGATCGGCGTTCCTGAGATTGGAACCATAGTTTGTTTCATTGTTGATTCAATAAACTTGGATATTGTCAGTGAGACATGGCAAAAATATATTACTGAACTCGCCTCCAGTGACGATATAAAGAATTTAATCATTGTTCAAGTCACAAAATTACCTAAAAGTGCATGTATTGAATGGGGTGGATGTAGTTTCAAGAATACTATTGGGATGTATGAAGACGAAGAAGAAACGAAACCGCAAGCATCAGAAATCACCAACATGGTTGATTTATTCGAATCATCAAATGTGGTCAATATTAATAATGGAAGCATACAGCTCATTACTTTGTTCACCAATGATTCTAATCTAGTTCGTAATCTAGTTGAGGTCAACAAAAATCTGTCTAATCGTTTACAAATATTTACTAAACTTGCGAACGTAAGTAACCTTGGAAGTAACTATGAAATACTACCAGTTTTACAGAGTTGGACATACGATAAGCAGCCTTTCTCTTTTACAATCATTTGGACAGTGGAATATTAATCTAAATATTTCTTCACCTAACTAAATAATACATTATTAGAACAAAAATTGTTCACGACCAGCATGTAGCAAAGAACCATTAATTTTAACCAGAACCTGATCCTGGTCCTTTGTAAATCAACTCGTCGGGAACATTTATGCCTTTACTAATACATAACTGAATTAATTTATCATTATCTTCTTTTAATTGGTCGATATAATCAGCAGACTTAGTAAGAATGTTCAATTCCGATCTATTCTCCAGTTCGTTTAAAGTAGGGGTTAAAGAGACGATCTTATCAAATTCTGACCTAATATTTTCTCTTCTCTTTTGTTCTGAGGCGATGTGGTGGGCCTATATTTAGTTAGTCCTGTGCTTGAAATACTTAATCATAGTTTACATACTTTCTTTTGATCTTCCGTTAAGACCGATGATTTTGACAGCATCCGCCTTGATGAGCCTTGGTCTGAGTCATCTGATACTGACATTCTTATTTTTAAAATGGATAGATAAAGCTTTCTAGTCTTGGTTTTATTTATTGCACGGTCATATCTGAAAATCTGGGGCCCACCAAATCACTTTTGTGTTCAATTTCTAAAAAATCACAAGCCGGTAGCCGGAGTCGAACCATGACGCATTCAGCACACAACGCAAGGGAAGTAGTTGTCGTAGATTCAGCAGCACGTATGCTTAGCAGGCCTAACTACATTTTTACCAATTCAATTACAATCCTATTGTAGTGCTGTGTATTTGCAAGTTTTCTTGTCCCACATATTTTGCAATATTAGGGCTATGCAATCGAATAGCACAAATTTACGTGGATTCTCAATAAAATACAAAATAGTCCTATTTCAATCATTCTAATTCAATCATAGCAAATAGGGCGTACAGAGTCTTGCATTTAATCCATTGATATTATCTCCTTAGTAGCATATACGGACTTAGCGCTCCCACTTCTTTTGCAATCCATCAAAAGAACTTTTCGCTCGTTTTGAGTAATTTACCCAAATTTTTGCCAAATGTAGAAATAGTTATCAATTATCTTTGATATGCTATTATTCATGGTTTAAAACCCCCTAACAATAGATATGCCTAATTAAGAAACGTAAGATCTAACCTTCCATGTTTTTAACCACAGAGAGTATACAAGATAGGTTTCTCATTCTTCTCTATATACTACATAGCATAAACCATATAGACTGCCATTAAGCTTTGAATACGTCAAAATTTCAGCAAACAACTATATGAGATAGTGGTCGCAAGATCTTGCATAGCTGAAATTGGTATGAGTTTAGTTATAATGCGTAATTCACCATGTGGGTATCGTTGCATATACTATTTTTAGGGTGGTTAAGCAAACCCTTTACAATAGAGTATCCGCAAGACAATGCGATAGCAAAGTCATGTGATTTCCGGGGCTTGCTCATGCAAAAAGATGCTTCGCCCGAACAATAGCACCCCAGACAATCAGGGTATCTATCAACTTTCCGGGCCAATTTGTCCCAATTTGTCCCAATTTAGCAGAGATTAACAATTAATAGTCCACGCACCCAATATTTTCCAATTACTCAGATAAGCTGCTACTCGGCATTTAGTTTAATTTTTTTTGAATCTATCACCACAGCAAATCCATAAGGACACCGCAAGCTTTGAATTGGAACCTACAATCGAACATTACTGGTTTATTGTTTGTATTACTGATATATAAATTAAATATTACATAAAAACAACAAAAGCCTCTGGCCTGAAAATATTAAGGCTCATTTAGGCTAGCTCCGAAAAATGGTACTAAATTCAATATTTTATAGTCGAAAAAAAAACTAGCTTCTTCTCTTGAAATTATAAAACTAATATTGTGGGTGTGAGCTTAGAATAATAAAGCAACACCAGCTGCGGCAACAGCACCGACAACACCGGCACCCACGATAGAGGCACCATTTTCAGAACCACCAGATCCGGAACCACCAGAACCAGAACCGTTGGAACCACCAGCACCACCACCGGTACCGTTAGAACCACCAGCACCACCGCCAGTGGAGTTAGAACCACCAACACCACCGCCAGTGGAGTTAGAACCACCGACAGCACCGCCAGTAGAGTTAGAAGCAGCAGAGACGACGGTAGCAGCACCTAAAGCAAGAATAACAGATTTGAATTGCATTTTATGTGTAGTTATTAACTTAGTTTGATAAGTAAGTAGAAAACAAATTTCTTATCTGACCCTGGAATGGACGGGACTTATATATCTTTTCCAAGCTAAAATGTAATTACTAAATTGGTAATAATAACGAATTTTTTTTTTCTTCGACGCCTTATTCATATACAGAACCACACGCCACGATTTGCATTAACTATGAATACAATTATAGAACAGCAATTATACCGGGATTACAATGCGCATATGACTAAGAATGGTTAGCTACCATAGAAAAAGAAATTTCCCACATTTGGCCTGATTAGAGTCTATTATAGTCTGGTGCGGAAATCCTGTATGGTATCAGGGGATGTGCCGAGGGCGAACGTTCTAGAAAGCACCCACGTAATTGGGGTGGTTCGGGGAAAAATTACCGGCAGCTTTTCTGCCACCCTTTTTGCAGTTGCAATCACGAGATAGTTAGAAGTTTTATTGGAGAGTTACAAGACGTTTATAGCATCTTCTAGCACGGTTGCAGCAAATTGGGTTCATGAAGGCATTATTTTGATTATTACATACTTCGATGATGCAGCAGCCAATGGGCTAGTGTAAACGGGTTATTAATCTATTGTATGGTAAAGATGCTCTAATTGTTAAAACAAATGGCCATAGCATCGCCGAACATAAGAAAGGGCGATAGGAGTAACATGGGGCTCACCACGCCCAAGCCAATAATTTACGTATTCGATAAAATAAGGTCAAAATGGCGTAGCTTGAATATCGTGATACGCGTTTAAGCCTCTTCACGTTACTCAAAGCGGGCTAAAGGCGAGACAAGGGCACATAGGAGAGGTTGCAATTGTTACATGGAGTCAACAGGCAGGGACGGCCAATGATGTAAGGAATGGCACGAGACACGCGACATTCACCCCGACATTGGGTTGTATGGTTCAACACGGGCCGAGATGGCGTCATCGGCTGCGAGCTACGGAAGTCGGAAGTCAAAACACGGGCAACATAACGTAAGAAAGGGGTCTTGGGGTAAAATCTACTACACCCGTACACCAAGCCCGTAATTGGAGTTATTCTTGCACTAGTAGGACTTACTTAATTTTCATTATCGGTCGTACGATTTAATACTATACATAAATGGCATATGCCATGCAACTCTATTATACAGATTTATAGGCTTCCGTTAACCTTAACAACTTTTCAACTTCGTCGTCGTAGTTCCAGCCGTCTTTGAACAATTTGTTCATGAACAAGTCGCTTCTCAAACCAGCTCCCACGTTATACTGGCGAGAGTAGTCCTCGATAACAGCCTTTGCGTTCTTGTAGTCATCCTTCATGAGACACTTCATTTCAAGCTCATGGGCTTTTGTAAATTCAACTGTCTTGACGAATTCCTTGAAAATTTCGTTATTCTGCAACAAATCGATGTGGTTGTCAAGGGTCAACTTATTTATCTGGAACTTCTCGAGATCGGAAACTTCACGTTTGGTCGGCTTCTTATCAGATGCTTCTATAGTAGATTCTTTAATAGAATCAGATACAGGCTGATTGGATAAAGATGCCGATTTATTCTTTTTCAACCATGATGCTGGGTCTTTCATGTATTCTAAGACCTTGCTTGTTTTAACCCACATACGAAGGTTGTTCATATAGTAATAATCTTTGAAGTTGAGTTTGGATAAACCCTTCACGCCATATTCGTAATCCAAGGTCATGATGAAATTGCTTGGAATATAACTCAATTGATTTTCAACAATCGACAAGATCAAAGGACTCAATTCATCAAAAGTGCTAAAATGATTATTACGGCAATTATAGGCTTGAAGCTGCTCATTCTTAACATGGTGGTCTATTTGACCGTTTTTCTTAGCTTGTTCCAATACTAGTTGCTTCGACTTGTCTGTATCTATTATATAATCATATCTTGGTGGAGCTGGGGTCTCAGTTATTGCTAATCCTGTTATGTCAATATAGAGCCCCGTATCGATGTCTATAAATCTTGCATCAATATTGTTGTTACCATTACCTTTAGTTCTGTGGGTGATGCTTGATCCCACGTCTATGAAATACTTGCCCATACCATTGAATTTTTTCTGATCACTTCCGGCATTTTCAATCACCAATGTTTGGTTGAAACGTCTTCCCAAGTTGTATAATTCCCCGATTGGCATTTGTACGTCTATATCTGTATCCCACGGGAATGCAATACCATTCCAGTACCACGATAACAATGACCCGTGAGCGATCCATGTCACAATCCCATGCTGTCTGGTGAAACTAAGATAATTCTTTACCAATCTATGTAAAGACAATAACTGTTCTTCTTTTCCGACGTTGATACCATTGAAAAATCTCCAATCATAATGCTCTCCTAACCACTTTTGTGGGTGTTTCTCTAATAATTTAGCCTCTTTAAAGAATTTAGGTGGATTATTCTCATTGGCTGAATATTTTATCGATTCAAGGTAGGCCGATTCAAGTTTATTCAAGTTCTGTTTTGCAGACATCGTCTTTATGACCTCTTGTGGATCAATATTAAAAGACTCTTTAGGGATATGGATCTCGTAGTCACTCAACACTTGTTCACTGTTTTCAGGAGCAACTTTAGAGACCAAATCATTGTACGCACCTAATACATTTACGGTTTTCATATTCTGCTTACTCACCAATGTCTCCACCATGGAATTATGCAATAAACTGTGCTTCAAATCGTTCACACCGTGGTCCAAGACATCCATCTCGTATGATCCTTGCGATTCAGTCATGAATATTAATCTTACCGGCGATGGTGCCCCTGAATACAAATAAGATTTTCCCAAGATTTCGTGGTTTGGAACAGTTTGGGGACCTGAGAAATCAACTATTTGATATCCTAATGGGATGTCTTTGTTGTCCTTACAGTAATTTTGAACTTCAACCAACTTGGAATTCTGCACCAACTCGATGTTTCCACTGATATCAAAAAGCTCCTTACATGATATCTTATTCCTACTTTCTGCAAGCATATATTTATGCAATTTGGTTAAATCCACCCAATCAGACCAATGGAATGGTAATGGCTCCTTTGGGTGGTGTTTGATCCACTGGAGATAAACCCCGAGTGTAAACCGTGGATCAAATGGCTGAATCACTGGCTTCGTCTCCTCTGGCTTCAAGAAATATTTCGGAACTTTCACCTCTAACGGTAAATTATTGAGCACTTTTTCATTTATGTCCCACATTTCGTTAGCCGAATCATCGGCTAACTTCTCGGCCTTGATTTCTTCGAGTTTATTCAAGAATTCATGGTTAGACTCCAACCCATAGTCCTTCGTGAGAAAATTACTCGTCCAGTTGTTGAATTTTAAATGTATAGCTCTCTGGAGTTTTAATTTATATTGTTTTATAGAAGGTCTCGCTAAAGCATGGTTCGATGTACTGATAATAATTACGGTCACCACCAATAGGAGCAAAACTTTCACTATAAGCTTCCTAGGTAATTTCAATGATTTTAACATCCTGTCTCGTCTCGTCTTGCGAATAACCTAATAAGTAGTTCATAAGACTCGTAAAAAGGAAAGGTTGATATATAAAATTTTGTAAAAGATTCCAGCTAATATAAATAAGGATGACTGGTGAGGCGCAAAAATTATTTTTCACTTTACTCACAATACCACTTACTCTATATGGTTTATGGTATTGTTTCAAATTATAAATTCGTGTTTTATATGCAAATTATTCCTATTTAGCAAATATATTCGTTAGGAGCCGCTTCAACTACAGGGGTACACATCTAGCATAACATGTTAACTCGAAGCTGACACGTCTATATCTATTTCTCGCATTAAAACCCCTTCCTCGCCTTGGCCCAAGCACCCCCTCACCACTACACTTGGATTACGATTGTCAATTTCGTAATTTCCAGGGGAATCAGAAAATTGAAATATCGCGGACGAGCCCCCGTAGAGAACATCAGATTCGATACCAACACGATTGCATGCGACTACGGTGACGGATTTGTAGTATTTGGCTAGCTGATTGTTGGGGTGATTTAGAAAGGGGAAAAAGCGTAAAATCCAGTAGTTGATGGTGGAATAGTCCGGATTTTGGGGAACAAACGGTTTGTCCTGAAGTTCGTGCTGTTCGACGAGCTGATTGGAGTAGTTATCTCGCGACATCGCTTCAAGATTATAAGCAGGAACATTATTGTGGGAAAAGAACTTCTGCTCGTACATTTCGCTTTGGTGCGTCTTGTCGCCTGATTCGCTAATGGACGGGGACTTCGAAGATAACCAGGCCATAGGACAGAGGATAAGAGTCGCTTTATTGGCAAAGCACGCCAATGACATTTCAAACTTGTTAAATGGAGCAGTGAATTGGTATGGATTTAGGTCCATACATATTCCGAAGTTTGTGGTAACTGCTGGGTATTCCTTGTTTGGTTGCTTGTTCAAATAGTACTCCTTATCGAGCACCAAACGCAAGGGTGTAAATTCCTTGTCTGGGTTTTCCTGGCATCCAAATGCTACGTCGGTGTCGTATAAAAACGTTTTTCGGTAATTATACAATACGCTTCCGTTTGGGGCAGTTAAAACTGCCGAATTGTATATATTGTAGTCTCGTTCTTTATCCTTTTCTGGATACCCGATCAATGTGAAGCACTCATGCTTGGTCAGAATCTCCTTGGCTAATTGTGTAGAGCGTCCGCTGGTAGTTAACTCTAAATATGGCTCTAATGCCTTTCTGTCAGGGAAGTTGTATCCAGTGATGGCAAATTCCGGAAGCATCACTATATCTACGCCCTGTAATTTGCTTAACATTTGTTGGACCTTCTTGATATTGGCCTCAACGTTCCCTATCTTTGGATTAATCTGAACACATGCTACCTTTAGCTTCATCATGTAGATCTATAGGAAATAAGTCTAAAGATGTGGAATTGTTATTGTTATTTGTTAGCTCTGGATTTTTCCGAAAAAAATATCACCTGTCAAGTAAGTGCTCGCAAGGCTTTGAAGATTTAGGTCTATTTTACCATAGCTCGTCGAAATCTCTTGTTTTTCCTATCAGACGTTAGTGATCTTTCTATTTATATTGTTGATATTGAAGTCGTCGTACTACATTACAAACCGGATTCAAGCTTTTAGCTGTATTGAATGAACTGTACTGATAGTTGATTTTGTAAACGATTTGATCAAGCACATCATGATAAGAAGATCCCGCTGTCTAGCTTTGCTAGCAATACTCGTAGCGTTGAACTTAGCTATGCTTTCGTTGTTGAATTATGATCCTAAAGCTTCGATACAGCAAAACCTTACAGAAAATATTTTTGATATCCGAAAGATTATGTTTAATGATGAAAATACAGAGAACGCAGAAGAATTTAATGAGTTGCTTGATTCGAAATTTAATCACATATATCAAAAGGATGATATAGATCTATCGGATGAGAAAAAGAACCAGTTATGGCTTTTAGATGTAACAAAGGATGAAAAGGACCATGAGCTTGTTTTGCCGGATTATATGGTGGATCCGGAAGCTGTCGAAAGTCCCAATTTGCATATATTTGATCCTAGATTTACGTTGAACTTTGTGTTTAATAACTTAAGACGTCAGATTAAGAAATCCCGTCCGTTGGATCAATTAGTATTACCTTATTTCCACTGGGCTGATTGGGTTGATTTAGCGATACTTAACGAACACTTTTTGAGTGACGAAAAACAGGGATGCAAGGAATTTGATCTTACCGTTAAGAGTGATCTTAGAAATAGAAAAATGGAGCTTCAAAAGCCAGAGACTTTTTGTATCGATGATGAAAAAATTGACGAAGTCTTGAATGACAGTGACACAGACCCTGTCTACAAAGATTTATTAAAACAGATAAAAGAAAGCAAGTTATCCACTGGTTTCCATGTTTTTCAATATGGTGGTAGATCACGTAAGAAGTTTAAGATTTTGCAGGCTAAGTCATATTTACACGATTTTATGCCCCCACCAATGTCACTTGTCTTTATTTTACCAGGTTCTCGGGATAATAATGGGAATAAGTTGAGGTTAGGAGGTACTGGGTTACAAGTAGGTGTATCTCAAGATACAAATAGACGTGTTAAGCTCGCGGACTCGTCATTAGTCTCTCAGTATATCAGGGATTATAGAAGAGAGTACAGGGAAGACTTACATACTTCCAAAGATATAGTCATCAATATTGATCAAGAATTGACAAGGTTGAATGATGCAGTAAAGGAGAAAAACCCAGTTCCGGAAGATGCAGTTGTTGAATACGAAAGGGTATTGGTACATGAACAATTCAAAGATAATTCGTCGGAAATATTAGCAGCTTTGGAAAAAGTTTCTGATGACTCTCTAACTGAAACAGAGAAGCTTTACAGAATGTCATTACAGGTTTCTCTCAATGAGGTATCTCCACCAAAATATTTTAATGAGGCTAAGATCATAAGAAAGGAGTCCAATTATGCACTTGGTGGGCATTATGATTGGAGATTTTTTAATGGTATTATTAACTACACCGATAAACAGTCTCCTTCGTTACATGGATTAATCAGGGCGTGGTTAACCTTTACAAACACTTATAATTTGAATACCTGGATTGCCCACGGTACCTTATTATCGTGGTATTGGGATGGAGTGGGATTCCCTTGGGATAATGATATTGATGTTCAAATGCCAATTGCTGATTTGCATACGTTATCCAGAAAATTTAATCAATCTATAATTATGGATCTTGGTGATGGAGATAATAATGAAATCCGTTTTGGTAGATACTTCTTAGACTGTGGGACCTTTATTTCTTCCAGAACAAAAGGAAATGGAAATAACAACATTGATGCAAGATTCATCGATGTGGATACTGGGTTTTACATCGATATTACTGGGTTGGCTTTGTCAAATCTGAGATTACCTGCCAGGCTCAGTAAGCAATTGCCAGAAGAACTCGGTGGATCATCAGTCGATCAAACTATCAGTGATATGGATAAAAATGAGTACATGAAAGCTTACAATTGTCGTAATAATCACTTTGCAAGATTAGAAGAGCTCAGTCCAATGAGATTGTCCATAGTTGAAGGAGAACCTGCTTATATTCCAAACGATTACGGAAAATTATTGAATAATGAATATGGTTATAAAGGGTTGATGGCAAAGAAGTTCAAAGGCTATACGTTTTTACCTAAATTAAGAATTTGGGTGCTAACCAGGAACTTGAACCAATTTATTAGGAATATATTGAATAACAAAAAACGTATAAGCGACAATGAAATATCTGACGACGAGGATTCAGTCATCAGAGACTTGTCTGACGCAGACTACTTGAAATTGTTGTTTGACCAAGACGATCTATTAGTTGAGTACTTGGCAACTAGAGACATTACAAAACTTCACGACAGCGAAATAAAGCGTATGATCCACGGCGACTCGACCGAATCCCTTCTTTTGGATGACCAGAAGCATGTAAAAGTCCGCTTCCCTGCATTAAGACATGATTCCTTCAATTTCATGGCACACAAACATAACTACAAATACGAGGACGCGGTTGCTGAGATGATTCGAAATGTAGAGCTTGCTAAGAAGACACGGGAGCAAAACAAGCTCCCGAAAGAAGAAAACCAGAACCAACCTGACGTGCAGGCAAAGGAAAAAGAAGAACAAGAAGCGGTGTCTCCAGCAAATCCTGATCAAAATAACGGAATTGAGGATTCAAAAAAACCTAAAGTAGAGCAGCAAACCGACGAGCACTTAGATGATGCAAGCATTAATAGAGGCCCGGATCTACCACCCCTTAGTCCTTAGTATTTGTATAATATAGAGAGAGATTGTATAATTATAAACGTATATATACTGATATTGATCTCATAGTAATTCACGTGGCTCGGATACGACCAATAAAAATTGGTTTGATCACGTAATCAAGACTCACACCATTTTATCAACTTCTTAACATCGGTCATTATAATTTTCACCATACAAACATTGACACTATTGTGATTTAATTAAGATGTTCAGAAGTGTAGGTCAACGTACTTTTGTTAGATTCAACTCCGGTGCACACCACGGTTACGGTGTTTCCAAGAGAATTGCTGAAACTGCATTCCCAAAGGTCGATAAACAAGCAGGTGAAGCCTTCAAGAAGGCCTGGAAAGAAAAGGCAGAACACTCCGAAGGTATCACCAACTTATGGAAGAAAATAACCTACGTTGTTGCTCTTCCAGTTCTTATCATAACTGCCATCCCAATTGCCAGAATTGAAATGCACCATGCTGAACACAGAAAGCACTTGAGAGAACTTTCCGATGAAGAATGGCCAACACAATACGAATACCAAAACTTGAGACAAAAGAAGTTTTTCTGGGGTGATGGTGACAAGACCTTATTCTGGAACAGTGATGTCAACAGACACATTGAAGCCTAAGTCATCTAATTGATTTGATTATGCTTATTTCATAGCCTTTATTTCACTTAGCTCTTAGTTCATTTTACTAGAAATGTTAATTCCTATTTGTATACGCCGAATAAGCGTTCATGCTTGAATATTAGAAATATACAGCCTATTATTGATAACCACTGTAGTAATTGATATTATTTAAAGGGAGCGAGATTTAGAGAAAGGGGTATCACGAAAATAATCACCGACCATATCGTAGGTATATGTAAGTGGGAGGTACTACACGTCCATTAAGACAGTAAGCGGCTCTTTATATAGTAATGATTCTGATCATTTCGATATTTATTAATTGCTTTATTATTTAAATGGATATGGCTCCATTATATCACTAATACAAAAACTTTCAATAGCAACACTACTTGACATAGGGAAGCTAAAGAAACCAGGAAGTGTAAACCATGAATGAGAATGATTAAGTCAATTCAATTGATCTTATAAAGTAGAGAAAATGTATAAGTTATTTGTTGCAGCAATTGCAACAGAATTTTCTCGTGGATGCCATGATAAGTGTAGAATACTCTTCTTGAAATCAATATTATCAAAATCACCTGCGTTACTACCAGAACCGACTCCACTCATCAATCTACGGGTCATTGATCCAGTATTCCCTAACTTTTTCGATTTGAAAGCTGACTTGTCGGCCTTCAAAACAATCTCCTCTTGGTCATCGTCATCTAATTGCGAGCTTGGTGATTGAGGGAATGTTTCGCTATCCATAGGCGGCGAAGCCACATCATCGTCATCATCATCAGAATCATCATCGTCCTTTTGTTGATTTGATTTGTTTTTAGAAAATGATGAGGTATTGAATTTAGTACTACTGAAAGATTTAGATGGTTTTGAATGGGTGTCATTAACAGCATTTGGATATATCATAAAATTGTTATTATAAGAACCAGTCATAATAGATTTGTTATCACCGCTGAATTGAACCTCGAACTTATCAAAAATGGCATCATTCTCGTAAGTGTCACATAACCTATCTCTTAAATGTTCGTGAACATTTATAGTTTTGACGGGTTTCAGCTCCATTGCCAAATCCCATATCTTCACGGTCATGTAGTCTCTTGAAACAATGTATCTACCATCGTGACTAAACTTCACGTCAGATATGGAGGAAGTAATTTCCGTAAAAAAGTTATGCGAAGCTGGATCCAAGTACTCTTCGAAATTCTTCGAGTGAGTATCACATAATGAATTTGATCTCATGTCTGATAACTTTATAGTACCTTTGGATGAAGAATACATAAATAAGTTACAATGACTAGGGTGAAATTCAGCACTTGTAATAACCTCAGTCAATTCTTCCATATTGGTTGGTTTAATATCTACTATATTAAATGATTGATCTGATATGCCAAGGTTCCATAAATTAATTCTCAAGTCATCTGACGATAAGTATGTCTCTTGATCGGAATTAACTGAGATGGAATTTATGTGATAAGCATGGGCATTTGAATAAATCTTTTTTGGTTGAGCCAGAATTAATTTATCATGCAATGTCATCTTAGGTAATTTCAAATTTGATATGGTGGATGCGGTCAGTGGCAAGTTGGAAGATCCATTCAAGTTGTTCTCGCTAACCATTTTAACTTGCTTTTCCAGGATTTTCCACAACTTGATAGTCTTGTCATTAGTAGACAACAAACAGAGATTGTTAGAGCTTTTAAGCCATTTGATTTTATTGATTTTTTCTTCGATCTCAAGCGACTTCAAATAATCGAATTCGGCGTCATGACTTTGAAACTCGGTGTAGAACTTATATTCGCAGCTTTGTTTCTTTTTCGATTGGTTCCTTTCGAAGAGAACAACTCTCCCGCCCTTATCACCGGTAGCTAAAAAGTCGCCTTGGTCATTAAATTCAACGGTAGAAATGATATCAGCTTCAGTAATATTTTCGATGTCTCCTTTATCACCAAAGCATTGTGAAAATTTCCATGTGTCTTCCATAGTCATATTATGCTAAACCATATACTCTTATTAATAGCGTTACAATTTACCGGATTGTTGCTCTTGAATCTGTCGATGATGGTATTCGTGCGATAGAGATGTTGGTTCGGTCCTCTTTTTCTGTTTGCAATTTATATCCACAATAAGAATTGGTGTATACTTTCAACTCAATTAGATCAGTATGAAAGATATTTAGTGACAGTTAATCGTTTATGATAAATTGAAATATAATAGGTTACCTTTAGTTAAGTCTCCTTATTAATTGATTCATTCTTTAGGCCATGAATTTCGCAAATGGCCAATTAAATTTTTAAGACTATTATATACAGGGAAAAGCATTTTTTCATCATTAGTACCCAAAGATCAACGAAACTACTAATTGGAATAAGCAAGGGCAGAAGCCAGGAAATGTAGTCGAATGTAGTCGAACGTAGGTCATATTCAGACAGAAGGATAAGCCAATTTGGAAGTTAAATATATAATAAATGAAATACTAAAATGGACAAGATTGGTTCACTATCTATAGGGTAACAACCACAGTGTACTATGTATATACTATGGCGCAACCTTGGAACTACATCAAGCTAGTAAAGTACATATTTTTTATTATTGAAAGATCATGAACGAAAAAGCCCAATCAACAGTAACTGCTGGAAAATTATATAAAAACATAAACAGGACTAAACTAATTTAACAATTCATCGTGAAACACTTAGATTTACAATAAACAGTCAGCAAATTTAGTTAGCTTTCTTAGCAGCGTCAGCTGGGTTGACTTTTCTGTCAGCAGTGAATCTCTTTCTTTGTGGAGGAGCTCTGATTCTTCTGTCGGTTCTAGATCTAACTCTGACGATTCTGGCGTGGATGGCACAAGAGACACAGTAGTGCAATTTGTTGTATAATTTTGGTAAAGCGTATTCAGCGTAGACTGAAGCTTCGGATAAATCTCTAACAGCAGCAGCTTCAACCATGTTTCTGATGGTGACTCTCTTGATGGCCTTATCCTTTGGAACACATCTAGCACAGTTTAAACATCTAACTGGCTTAACGTGACCTCTACCCTTCTTATTTCTACCGTTGGAAGCTCTCTTTTTTGGCATGTTGAACTATAATTATGTTAGTACTTGGTTCCAATTTCCATGGTTACTTTCGGCATACATCCAGCGATAATAAATCAATTGCTACCACGTCCATATTCTCCAATAACCTCCGAACAACGTGCCATCGTTCCTTCTAGTATATCCATTTCCACTTTCATGTTCTATTTCCACTTTATCCCTTATAAAAATATTTTCATTCATGTTTTATTTATTCCTTAACTCAATTTTTCACTGGTCCTAATTGCTCTTAAACGGCCACTTTTTGTATATAATGTTGTTGATAATGTGGATCATGTCTTATATTATTGATTCTATCATTATGCTTTCAATGGTACCGTATACTCTATACATACCTATTAATATATTGATCAAAGAATAAAATAATGAAAAATTAAGTATTTTCACTTTTATTAAGATTGGTGAGAGAGTACACTGAGAGTCCTGTCGACTGAAAAAAAAATTGTAATAGGGGTCGTGAACGGTTCATAAATTAAAGCAGTCACAGACATGTGTATTTGTTTGTTTAGGGTTCGAACCGCGGCTCTGGAAAAGAAGAATCATGAGAATCGAAAATTGAGATATACGACAAGTTTGTGTACGAAGATTAATCTGGAGTATCACGTGAAAAGCTCTAACGATAGATACAGTTCTTATTTAGTGGCCTTACAGAATGTACGTCTATAACTTGCACATTATGATTGGCATATGCATTCTATGTATATTCCTTACTTCGGTTAGTGGGACGAGTACTTTATTTCTATTGGATATAGATTCAGCTTTAAATACAAAGTACCGGAGGCTATTTCTGACTAGTGATGATCAGGTGTTAGTAGGCGAGTATTTGTACGCCAACAATCAATCTATGGCCTTCTACATAGATTTGAGCGACGCTGGCGATATAAATATGACGTACGCAGAGCAATTACACAGTGGCGTAAATGCACTCAGGGCAATTTACCCTCGTGAGGATGCAATTGTTGTCAATGCACACCATGGCAATAATTGGTTACAATCCTATGGTTCCAAGCGGGCATCGTATCAGAAAATTGGTGATTTTACAGCAGTATTAAAGTACGGGATGAGAGATTTAGAAAAAAGTCTCACGAGCACAATATCGAATGTCTTCGCGGATTACTTAAATGAAATCTTAAATAATACGGGCGGAACTGAATGTTCAGAAGTAACTGAGTCACTACCGGCGGGGAAACAATGGTCCAATACAGGGACTAGTGCAAATATTAGGACTTGTGCATGTAATTGGAACAAATGTAATATTAAAGCTTCGGAAGACCAAATGCAACAGGCTGCGAACTGGGCAGATAACGCAATTGCGCAGTATCCAGATAGTATAGACTATAAAATGGGGTTTAGTAATAACGAGGCTTGGCACTTGTGTATAAAATTGGTAAGAAATGAATTATGCGATGATAAGTACGATGCCTACGATGCTGTAACGAGCATGGGGTGTCCGCAAGGGTATTGTAATGGTACCGCTACCGATTGCAAGAAATTTGCGGACTATTTTAACATCTCCTCATCTTGGGTCTACATTACAGCACTTAGCTTAGTCTTATTATTCTTACGCAACCGACAATTTTAAGAAAGATACACTATTAGTAATGCTTTATATGTAAATAGTATATTGGTGCTCTAGTAACTTTGGACATGTTCAACTCTATTATTATTAGATTACTTCCTGAACTACATATAATTAAATCCTATTTCCTTTACTTTCCTTTCTCTCCATCCCTCTCCTTCGAATCCTAGGAACTTATCTAAACCTCAATTCATTCTCCATATAATACCTGGTTCATGAATCATACCATACTCTGTTCCTTAGTGGTTTCTTAGTAAATCACGTGTAAGTACTTAGATTTTGTTGGTTAACTCTTGGGCGTATTTTTACAAGTTATGGATTTAGCGCTCGCTAGCCAATTACGTTGAAGATCATTTCCTTATAGTTAAGACGAACTCACTATGGGGGATTTTGTGTAACTAGTCTCAATATTAGCTGATTTTTTGTTTGTTAGTTCATGATATGTTATAGGTACCCAGTTGAAATTAATTCATTTAATTTGCATATACCATAGTCAACAGTGTACGTAGAAACATATATTCACAGTATGAACCAATACCCCGAAACTGAGGAAGATCTACGCATAGCGGGTAGACCCGTTGTTTACATACAGAGAGTGAAAAAAAACCACTAGCGAGATGTCCAATGAGAAGAGAAGGAATTTGGTAGTTGAACAGGAACGTTCAATTGGGTGAATAAGGGTATATGTGGGCAAAGCAAACTTGTATGATTGAGAATTGGGATTCAAATGGGCGAAATGGACACTATGAAATTTACGATAGGGACATGAAGAACCTGCCGGGGAGATTGGAAAGAGCGTAAGAGCCTGAGATACCAAATGCGACAGAATGATTTGAAGTGGAGCTGGAAGCGAAAACATGATGAATATGACTATGTAGTGATCTCAGAAATTATGGGTGGTTCAAACTTAGTGATAAGAACAATACTAACTAATATCTAGCATGCTCTCTCGTACTATACGTTTTGCTAAGCAAACTAGATTCTTGAGTACCTCAAGAATCTTAATGTCTTCTCCACAAAGCAATGTTGCTGCCAAAACTGCTACCAAGTTGTCTGAAGTCACTGGTCCAGACGGAACTTTGATTGGTCCGGGTGCCAAAGAAGGTACCATTCCATCCGACTTGGACCAAGCTACTGGTTTAGAAAGATTCGAACTTTTAGGTAAGATGGAAGGTATCGATGTCTTCGACATGGAAAACCCAGTCTTCGAAGGTTCTGGTTCTATGAAGGACCCATACTTGGTCCCAACCTACATGGGTTACCGTTACGTTGGATGTAAGGGTAAAGGTGGTGACGACCACAAGCCTTACTGGATGAAGGTTGAAGAAGGTAAGCCAGGTAGATGCTGGCAATGTGGTAACGTTTATGCTGCTAAATACTTGGGTGAACCAGGTCACCAACACCATTAGACATTTCCTGGTGTTATTTGACCCACACCTATTACAGCTCTTCTAGAAAGTGACTGAAATGAATACAAGCCGATGCCTTGCCATCTGTTTGTTTTGTTTTAGTTAGGACTTAAATCATTTGTTACATTTTACATTTGCTTTTTATTATTCATTTTCTGGAATCATCGATTATATTATTGATTATACGTTACCTTTACTCTTTTGTTCATCAGCTCTTATTTTATATTCATAAAATTCAGTATATTCATTTGTTAAATTAAGTGTAGGCGATAGAAACATTGGAGTCATATAATGTTTACAGTGTTCCGTAATGTAGGTGTGAACTTCCTAAATCGGACAATAAATTTTGGTGCCTTATATATATAAGGTGGTTGTATATTTTCAACCTTGATTTTCTGATTATTCTTCAAAACAAAATGAAACCACAAGTTCTTTTCATCGGCGATTTGAATAAATCATTACCCCAATATGTTGAATTCACCAAAAAATTCGATTGCATCGAATATGAATTAACTACAGTTGAACAATTGATCGAGGATTTCAAGACTAAATTTCAAAATATACAAGCCATCTACGGAGCGTGGTTAGGGTTCTCTCTACTCGGGGGATTTCGTAATGAGGTGCTTCAGAATGCCCCTTCCAGTCTTAAATTGATTTCAATTTGTTCAGTCGGGCATGATGGATACGATGGTAAAGCGATGGCTGAAAAAAATATAATCTTGACCAACGTTCCTTCGGATGGTGCTAGTGAACCTGTTGCTGAGTTGGTTTTATACAATACTTTGTTAAGTTTCAGAAATTTCAAAATCTTCCAGGATAATTTTTCAAAGGATACTAACAATACTGTGGAAATTAGAAGACAGTTAGAAACGGCAAGTTTCAATTCTGATAAAGGAACTGCTCAATTGGGAGAAAAGGACTGTTATTCATTTGGTCATCGTACTATTAACAGATCTAACATATCTCCTAAAAACCATAACGTAGTTATTGTGGGGTTTGGTAAAATTGGACAAACAATTGGTAGGCGTTTATCTGAAATCGGTATGAACATTCATTACACCAAAAGATCTCAATTATCGCAAAAAGAGGAGGATCAAGTGCCATACCCGGTTACATATCATAAAACTCTTATGGATACAAAGGACATTGCCGACTTGGTCGTCGTTGCATGTCCTGGAACACCAGAAACTAAACACATGATTAATAAAGAATCTATTAGCGCATTTGCCAAGCCAATCAGAATTATCAATATAGGGAGAGGCACAGTCATTGATGAACAGGCACTTGTGGATGGTTTAAAATCCGGCAAAGTGGTCTTCGCAGGTTTAGATGTGTTTGAAGATGAGCCAAAGGTTCATGAAGAATTATTCGGCAGACAAGATGTAGTATTGACTCCACATATTGCTGCTTCTACCGCCGAAAACTTCGACCATACAGCTATTATGGCAATGAAAAATATAGAAAATGTCTTATTAGAGAACGGCAACGGTATTAACAAAGTCAATTAGACAACAATACATGTTGCGAAATAGATTTTCATGTCAAAAAATGACCCTATAATTTTGCCATAGCCATATTTTAACACACATATTGGATCCTATTACTTTTACTTACATGTTATTCCAAACTTAGGTGACCAAAACACGTAAGTTAAGGGCATTACAGCTACTGGGGTAACGTCTCGTCTCATTATATATGTTTATCCTAAAAATGACGCGTTCTACAAACAAACTGTTCGAGTATTTAAATGTAGTTTTTCATTATCATGTCTTTCTCTTTATAGCATCATGTCTATCAAGCTGTTAGATGGATTAGTTGTAGTATTTCATGTAAGGATTGTCTTTAAGTGGTTCCCCTAAAATATATCGTGTATATACCATAAAGAGAATGGTCTCGATAACACTTGAAAATCGAATCGACTTTGATTTGGTGATCAGGGAGAGTCTACGAATCAGTTTAGTTATTAAACATTATAGGCCATATGCTGTCATTATATATAGGTGTCTACAGGGCATTGTACGATTATGTGGCCCAGTCTGATGAAGAACTTAACATTAGTGCTGATGACTTGTTATACTTACTAGAAAAGTCGGAAGTAGACGACTGGTGGAAAGTTAAGAAGAGGGTAGTCCCAGTTGGCGATGAAGAAGTAGATGAGCCAGTTGGATTGGTTCCATCAAACTACATTGAAGAGGTATGTAATTTAAATTTATGAAGAAGCTCTATGAACGCGATACTAACGTTGAATTTAGGCCCCTATTGTTGAGAGAGCTACATCATTATACGACTATGACAAGCAAACGGAGGAAGAAATTTCTTTCAGAGAAGGTGATAGGTTTAATGTATTTGACATGAATGATCCGGATTGGTTTTTAGTGGGAGATGCTCAAACTAATCAACTATTTGGGTACGTTCCGGCAAATTACCTCGAAGTTGGTGACCAACAACTGCAACAACAGCAAATCCCTGCCCAATTACAGACTCCTACCCAAGGTCAGAATGCTCCAGGTATGCCTTTGGCTAGCTTTGCACCACCTCCACTTCACCGTGACAGAGGTATGTCTGCATCTCCACAATCACAACCACAATTTCAACCGCCCCCAATGCATCCATCTCAAGTTCACAACGAGCCTGAATCCACGGAACATGAAGGGGGTGAACATCAAGAAGAAGAGGTTCTTGGCAATGATAGTGATGAAGATGATGCCCCACCTCCTCCAATGCCATCTAGACCTTTAAATGAAACCCCGGTCAGAGAAAATAAACCACTTCCCACACTGTATGGCCAAGAAAATGAAGAGGACATTAATGATAATACAGAACATAAATTTGATGGGGAATATTTTACTTGGTATATTGATGAAGTTGATGGACGTAAAAAAAGGTCTGTCATATTTTCTATTGGTCAAGGAAATGTAATTTTAAAACCAAATACAAACAATCCTAAGAAGCTCAAGCTAAAGTCTGCATCTTCGCTCGATCAACAGTGGAAAATCAAGGATTTAACTGATTTCAGTCATGAGAAAAAGCACTTGTTTTTGGAATTTAAGAATCCAAGTGCTTCCATTGAATTGCACACCGGATCCAAAGATGTAGCCGAAGCAATTATGTCTATTTTAGGAGATTTAAAGGGTGCTGAAAATGCAAAAGGGTTACGAGAAGTTGCAAAGGCTTCCCAAGCTTCGACGGGAGGATCGAATAGGAAGATCGGTAGACTTATGTACGATTTTGAAGCACAAGGATCTGATGAATTGATGAGTAAAGAAGGTGACGAAGTCTATATTATTAATGAAACTAAATCTAAGGATTGGTGGATGTGTGAAAACATTGAAACTAAAAGACAAGGTGTTATTCCATCGTCATATATTGAAATTGTTGGAACCTCAAACTTAGAAAAATTAACAGAAGGTCCTCAAAGACTGAAATCTACTAGAAGTACTAGATCTTCTAGGGGTAGGGTCGTTCCAAGTGATGATCAAGGACACAGAAAAAGTAAGAATCACCATCGTAGTAGAGAAGAACGTAACAAAATCAGAGAACATGACCGTGTGCAAAGAGACAAATCAAGCCATGGAGAATCAAGTGATAAATCAATGCCTAATTACCATAGAGTTAGAACATGGATTGATAGTTCTGGTTCATTTAAGGTTGAAGCTGAATTCTTGGGATGTGTTGAAGGCAAGATTCACTTGCATAAAACCAATGGCGTTAAGATTGCAGTTGCGGCTGCTAAATTATCTCTTGAGGATTTAGAATATGTGGAAAAAATTACTGGAACATCTTTAGAGTCATATAAACAAGAAGTTACAAAGCAAAATGTGAAAAGAACCAAGTCTCAGAAAGCTGGTGTTACTCAATCTCAATCAGCTACTTCGGCTATTAATGATATTGCCCCACCTCAACCCACAAGACCTAAAACGACAACTGCTCTTTCAACTAGTGAACCAGAATATGATTGGTTTGAATTTTTCCTTTCTTGTGGTGTCGATCTTGGTAATTGTCAACGTTATACACTTAATTTCAATAGAGAACAAATGGATGAAAACATTTTAGCGGATATTAATCCTTCATTATTACGTACGTTAGGTTTAAGGGAAGGTGACATTTTGAGGGTCATGAAATTTTTAGACAACAAGTTTGATAGAAAGAAATCAACTGTCGAAGAGCCAAATGCTCCAGCAGGTGGCTTATTCACTGAACCAACTGGTGCTTTGAAAAATAACAACTCAGCAGCAGAAGTTCACAAGGTGGATCCTAAGGCATTACCATCTCCTCTGAGGTCTGAGGAACAGATAGGTGCACAAGAAGCACAATCTAACAAATTTGAAGATGACGCATGGGCAGTTAAACCAGCAGCTAGATCTAGTGAAGACGTATCAAAACTTCCAGCTTCTACTTCTTCTCCTGCTACTCCTGCTGCTCCTCAGCAACCACAATACACAGGTGCATTGCAGGATTTGGTTAATATCAAACCTTTAGAACTGAATAATAAGATACCGCCACCTGCTACTCAACAAGATCAAAAGCCATCTGCGCCAACGTTAACTCCGGTTAAGACTGGAAATGGTGTGTCATCGCAACCTACTAATGGACAAGTGACCGCTCAACGTACTGGTGGTTTGGTCCCTGTTCAACGTACTGGTGGTCTCGTTCCAGTTCAACAAACTGGTGGCCTTATTCCTGTTCAGCCAACGGGATTTATGCCAATTACTGCTCAGCCAACAGGATTCATTCCAATTCAAGCAACAGGTGTTTTGCAACCTCAACTCACTTTTGGGATTGTTCCATTGCAAACTGGGGCTACCACATTTACAGGACAAGCAACTGGTCAACAACAAAAAACAGGCAACAACATTCCACAAACTACTTTTGGCCAACCCACATTCCAACCATTGCAAACAGGTAATGTGACACTTCCTCAGACCACATTTGGACAAGCACCAATGATGACAGGTCAAGTTACTGGTGGTATGCCACCTACATCATTCGGAGGCCAACCATTATCTATGCAAAGGACTGGACCTTTGGTTCCGGCTCAAAGAACTGGTGGCCAGGTTACCGGAGGCATGATGCCGCAAACAAGTTTTGGCCAATCCAACTCAGTTATGATGCCACAAACTTCATTTGGTGTTCAAAACACCCTGAACTTCCAACCAATGGGTGGACAACCTATGGGAGGACAAGCAACAGGT